TCTGTGTCCAATGTTAAAATTCAATATTCCTGCGAAATATTAAAGTTTAAACTCAAGTCCTCGTTTTAACTCAAGTGTTGGTAAAAAATTACCTACAGAGCTCGCCCTTTGCACGACAGTCATCTTGAAAACAATTCAAGCGGCGGAGTTGTGGTGAATGCACGTATAGTTCCAGTCAAAATTTCAGTACTGTGGTGAGTAGTTATTTTCTTACGTATATATATTTCATTGTAATTTATATAAGGCTATATGTAATTTGTTGATAAGTAGCATCCACTAATAAAAAATATTAATTCCGAATTATAATATGAAATTTGTATCCCATTCATCAGTACCGTGTCGTCAGTTCCCCCATGTTCGATGTTTCGGTTATCTTTTTTTCGCAAACTTCAATTTATATTCTGCTTGCCCAGAACTTCTTTATTTAATGTCATTATAAACTCATATAAATTTGGTGTGGGTCCCATATCTAATAATTGAGATATCGGTATACCCAAAATCCACCAGCCGCCACTGATGTGTGGTATTATTTGATTTTAAGATATTTACTGTATAATATGCTTAAAGTTGCAATAAATCTTATATTTTCCAATAAATTATGTATTTAATTAGTACCCTGGTATACTCGTCACTTCCCTTGCATTCAAATGTAGAAAACACAGATATTTCTGAAACTGTTTGAAAAAGTGACTGGCCCGGTCTGGATCAGTATATTTATTATATTATCTATGTTCTCATAACAAAATTCAACTTTTGTAGAATCACCCATAATCATTAAAATCAAGCCGAGAAAAAAAATTATAATAAAAACTTGCAATTATGCTTTTATTGACGCTAGATTATTTTTCCTTTACACCTCACAAGCTAGTGTATAATAAATAATTGTTCATTTAATTTAAAAATCTTAATGCAAGATTTGTATTATTTCAAGGGCATATTTTAATATTCGTAAAAATAAGAAGGGCGTAAAAAATGGCCATAATAAATGACAGATGTTCGGAGGGTAAAGTTAGTTAATAAGAAGAAAATAAAACAAAACAGGCGTGTCCTGATGATTAGGTTAAATATTGCCGAAGAGTATAAAAACGAGCGAGTGACTTATGAATAAAAAGGGAAAATTTAATACGGGGGCTGTGGTGTTTTGTTCGAAATTGTTGTCGAACTGGAAATGTCATGGAAAAAGTTTTCTCCTTATTAGACGGATGATGTTGCACAGTTGAAATAAAAAAAAACGGAGAAGAATGATAAAGAACAGAAAAGTAACATAAAACATCGGGGAGGGACAATGAAATTAGACGGCAGAGGTAGAAAAGTAAAAACTTCATTCAAATAAAAATACACTTGAATAAATATCTGTGTGTCTCACTGATGAGTTGGTTGTTTACTTTGGACGCAATTTAAATAAAAAAAAAGATCCCCGAAAATCAATTTACACCCGGCTTTAGCCCAGAAGCAGCGCTAATTTGGATACAAATTTTATCAAGCACAATCCTCAAATATTACCTTCTTTATTTGCATATTAGGTTAAAGAAATTGTTTAAAAAAATACTGTAAAAAACTTTTATCTCCACGCGGTCTATAATTTAAACTTTATTGTTGTCAACATTCGATAAAGAAATACCTTGTTATGGCCTAGGCCGATAAAAAATTTTATGAGGCAAGTAATTAGTTCCATTTTTTCTCGCTAGGGGTATTGTTCTGACAAATTAATCCTTTTCTAAGAAATTAACGTACTAAACTGGTTTAATTTATTTATAATAAGCACTAATTTGTTTGTTTTACTGTTAATGTTTATTATTTTTCATTAAATTATTGTAAAATTAAATATGAATAATAAAACAAAAAGAGAGGTTAGGCAACTAAGAAAACGCACGATTCTTTTTCTACGATTTAAATTATCTTTAAGTTTTAATTTGCTTCAAGTTTTCAGTGAAATTAAATGTTAAACACAGCTTAAACATTCCAAACTACCTATTTTTAAATAAAAATCCAAAAAATTTAAATTAGATACCTACCTATTTATTAAACAATTAATTGAATTCAATGTAATAGAAAAAATCCATTTCTACTTAAATCATGTAGCTAAGTATTGTCAAACTATTACTGCTTCTAAAAGCAATAATAATTATTGTACATTTAATGTAATCTTTAGCTAATAAATAAATGAGATTCTAAAATAGTGAGGTTAGGCCGCTTTGATGTTGAATTAAATTCACCTATATAAAGTGCTTTGAAGATAAAATGTTGTATGCCATTTGGCCAAGAAGTGCCTTTTTGTGCTTCGCTCAATTGTAGGCTTCCGCTACGCGTCGGCCTTCAAACCTTGAGCTTAGCACAAAAAGCCTTACTTCTTAACCTAATGACATAAATAACTATGTTTTAGTTTCCAGATACATAAATCCCCTTTGTATTTATATCGCTGCGGCGAATGTTTTCCGTTGCGTCATCAATTTCAAATGTCAAAAACCTTTTTTTTTTTAATTGCTTTGTGATACCTCATTGGAAAGCTCTTAAAAATTGCTTTTTTGTGTCTGAAAGCTAAAATGCAGATGAAGAGTTTGATTTAATTTAGTAGTAGTTTTTTCCCTTAAAATCAAAGTGAAAAATTGAAATTAGCAAACGGGTCAGTGGCAATAAATAACGCAGTCCATGTGCTTGTGCCCTGAAGGGGGGGGGAGGGTTGAGAAGTGGCCGTTCTAACGAGACCAATTAATAAATCCCTTGGTAAGAGTAGGTAAGGTAATAGTGAGTTATTAATATTTAGCCTCGGCCGTTATCCCGTTTTATAAACCTGAGGAGTTACAAATGATGGCTGTCGCATGCACTGGCCCTGGCACATGGCACATCGACAGTTTTGTCCGCCTGGACTTTCCATAAATTAGAGGCGGCCGTTAAGTGCGATATCGAGAATGGACCGCCGTAAATTATACCAACCCCACCCCCTATTTTCACTTACACTCCCCCCCTCTCCTCCGTCTCCTTTAAAACTTCACATTTGTCAGCAATATAGCGCGCTAAGTATGTTTTATTGCTCCAATATGAAATTGAAAGGGCTTAAAGAACGTCGGACCCTTTAAGGTGAACAACTCTATATATCAACGCTAGACCAGCATCAATCACTTGCTCATGTACCCTGAGATCCTTAATCTTCCACCAATATTTTATTTTAACTTTATTTTTAACAAAAACTTATCATCATATTGTTTTAATTCGCACGGCGTTAGATCACAAACCTAATCGAGATGCGTAAACTTTATGTATTTTAATCAAATGGTGTTTGAATTTTTTTCATTTCCTGAAGTATGAGTAAAATTAAATGTCTATAAACATTTAAATAAACCATAACGTTACTAAATACTTCCTAAAATAAATCAATTTTAGAGAGAATTTTGCTGATTTTATGGCCATATGTATACTTTAGTAAATAAAACATGGACTAGTACACTAGTATTCAGTAAATTGGTTGACATTAAACTTCGACACAACAGTGAAATTTAATTATCAATAAAACAACAAAAATGGGGTTAAGGGGCGGTCGGGGTTTCACCTGTAAAATCATTGTTATTCAGTGTGGGTCGCTTATGAAAGGGCGGTGTGGTGGAGTAGCGAAAAAAAAAACTTAAAAACTTCTTACCCCCGATCACATATTTCATATGCGAAGAGCTGTTTTGCTTGCCGAGGCCATATTATTTCCATATTTTTCCCATAATGCCGCGCTGTATATGGCGGTTTATTTCGTGTCACAAGCACCGTAATGTATTTTAAGGCCTTATCATTCATTGCGTCTTCTTCGCGCCCAGGCGGGCAACTCTTTAAAAATAAGAATCGCGCGCTCACGGTAAATATTTGTTAGTGTTAGGGACTGACTCTCGGGCTTTGGGAATTTATGATATTACTTTTCACCGGCCGTCCAACATTTCACCCCATTGTTGATGCAGAACGTTAAGTCGTGAGCCCCGCTATACAGTAGACGAAATTATGCCCCGTGAATATATCCTAAGCCATTATATACCCCTTTAAATCATTTTTTGATTTTTATTATTTTATTGTGTTCCAACATATTTCCACCCATATAAATTTAAACAATAATACCCAAATTTTCTGATGTTTTACTGCTTTGTGTATAATTTAATTTTTAGTTGTCAATGGTAAATATGTTTATCTGTAACTTTTGTCATGTTGGGGGCAGAACTAGGTATAATGGCAAATCGTTAAGAGCCTTTATATTTTTTGTAGGGGTAGTCTCCCTATTTTAGTTAAGAAACTTAATCCCAAAGTGAGGTGATTTAGATATTTTCCGATTACCGATGTCGTTCATTTTTTCCGTTCTCCTCTATTCTCTTTCCCAATTACAAAAGCAACAATGCCCGTATACTTTTTCCTTAGCGTAGCCGGCCTTTTTTCCTTTTATTTCCATTAGATTTCTTTATTGTGTGGCATTTATTTATACTGTCTACTTTCTTAGACTGTATTCAAATCCTTAATTTATTTTTATTGGCTTTGACAACCATCCCGGCTAAAGTTACAATTATTTTTATTCCGATCGTATAATTTACTTATGCACTGCCGAGATAAATTAAACTGAAAATGATCCAAAGATTCAGAAAAATATTGACAGATAGATACGTAATACGTTGAAAAATGCAAAAAATTGTATATATTTATATCTTTATAATGATAATTAACTGAACCAATTACAGGTATCATTCTTATTACTCATAAGCGGATTTTTAAGGAATTTGCGTGATTAAATTAAATTTATTAACGCCAAAGTTGTTGACAGTGCAACAAATGGGTATCCAACGAAACATCCTCGTCTTACTTGTAAGTTGAAAACTTTATTTTATCATACAATTACTACCTGCTTATCAAATTATTTATAAAGATACAAATTGTATTAACTGTTCGTAACGTACTTCATACCAAAAATGGTATGACATCTTCTGAGCTACCGTCCACATGTGTCTACCCTTGATAATTTTTTTCCTTTATTGTTTCAGCAAGCCGCATCTTTAGAAAAAGTTCTCAAAGAACAGCAACATCAACAGCAGCAGCAATTAGAGCTGGAACGCACCTGGGATCAGGAACGCGATGCCAAAGGCAACGGTAGCACAAGTCCGATTTTGGAACATCGGATCCAGGAAAATTCGCCGCCGCCATCTGTCGATTCGCAGAAAAACCTCAGTGCTACCATACCGCCGATATCACAAGTAACTAAGTCTATTTATTCATTTCATTAGTGGTTTTTCGGGATCTGCTCCGTGTTTGTAGGGCTGCTGTTGCTTCTCTGCTGCGAGTCCACTTATAACTCGCAGCAGAGCAGCAACAGCAGCCAAGCAGATAAGACCTGAAGATGGTACATGAGATTGTACCGAAACGTCGTTTTTTACATGGTGCACTCTGTACATTGTCATTCTGTAATCTTTCAACAATTTTTTTTTTCAGTCGCAAACGCCGGTGTCTCAAATGATGACGCCAGCGTCGAATTTGCACCACATGCAGCAAATCCTGCAGCAACATGTACTCAACCCGACTCAGCTTCAAACTTTAATGAAACAACACTCTCTACTGCAGCAGCAGCAACAGCAGGTAAACAATTATTTCTTGCAGGAAATTAAAGCGAATAATGAAATTCAGAGCGAATTTCAGCAACATCAGCTAGCGGAGCTGGGCAAAAAACAGATCGAACAAACCATACAGCAGCTTCAAGAACAGCTGCAGCTGAATCTCATACAACAAACACATATCTTGCAGAGCGCCGACAAGAAGAAAGCTTCGGGTTCGTTGCAGCAGCTGGCTTTGCAACAGCAGCAGCTGATTCAGCAGCTGCAGCTAGTGCAGAGGCAGTATGTTGTTCACCAGGGGATCGGTATACAACCCTTGATGATGTCTCAAAACCAAGGTACAAAATGAAGACGTTCTTCGGAACAACGACGGGATTTTAATAAATAAAATAGTAGTCGAAGTCAGTTTAAAAGAGTTTAATTAAATCAGTATTTAGTAGTAATTAATGCATGCCAGTTGAATTCACTGTTAAATATTGAGTAAAAAAGCAAAAGAAGAGAATAATTGATAGAAGACTGGACATTTGTCGAGGGTTCCAGCTAGGTATGTATGTTTCCTATTCCTGCCTGTCCATTTCAAATCTCAACCCTCAATTAGATTTTTCGAGACCCCCTTATAAATTGGGCAATGCCACTACACTTGAAATAATTAATTAACCACTATTGATGGAGGTTTTAAGTCTTTTGTCACCAGCATCGCTAAATGGACCTTTCACGTGCGGTTTCAACAATTGGCACTTGCCCATCCCAAAATAATAAAAAAAAATACACACACAAAAAACAGTGACGCGATTTTTATTTACTATGGGCAAGACAAAACGTTGGACAGTCTTAGTTTGTATTAGTCCGCACACCTTTATCCTACCGCTAGAAAAATTAGATGGCCCCAAAATGTTGTCACTGTTTTTTTTTTCATCCTTTAATCCCTTTTAACCCTCCTTATTTTTTTTCCTCATACCTAAGCTGGAACTCGTCTGTCCAATGTGGAAACGCACGTGAAACGTTCAGTTTAAAACAATTTTTGACAATTTTCTTTTTTATCCTAGGATTAAACTCGAGGGATGTAATGAGTCCTTGGAAGGAGCTTAATGAGTCCCACATAGTCAACAATAAGAGTATACCAGAGTATAAAACAGGTAAGCAACTTTGTTGAAGTAGTAAAATTTTACTATTTTTAGAGTCGTATAAGTTTAGATCCCATAATAATTTCTAGTAAACTAAGGAATAATAAAGAAAAACAATAAAATCGAAACATAAAATATATCCCGCGATAACAGCAAAAATATCTATTTTCTATTTCCCGAACAACACAGCGAATATTATGACTTGTAATAGACATAAGTCAGCGAAAAGTTTGAACAATAGCGGGAATAATCAATTTTTTCTTGTAGAAAGGAGGGACATAACGATAAAACACACTTGTCGATATAAGTAAATGCGATATTGATATTTCAAAACACCCCTTCTTGAATGTATAAAACATGTTAAATTTATTCAGTTACATAAAAATAACAATATATATAGCTCGCTTTACATTTTACTGCACATCCAATAAAATCCTGTTATGCAATTACAAATGGAAGAAAAGGTTACGTTATTTTATAGCAGAAAGTCCTCCCACATTGCTAGGCATGGTGCCGAAAAGAGAAGAAACTCCAGAGGAGCTGAAGCCGGAAAGAACTGCCACTCCAGACAGGGTTCATCATTTATATGGTCACGGTGTCTGCAAATGGCCTGGATGCGAAACAATATGCGATGATTTATCCACTTTCGTCAAGTAAGTACTTTTTAAATTAACATTAGTGTATTTATGTCATTTAAAGAAACCTTAAGATGTTTATATGATTTAATGTCACCATGAAGTTACTAAATACTAACTTCCTAAAATAAATCATTTTCGAACCATATGCTATCTAAAACAATCTCATTGGTGCTCGTAGAATAATTTATTTGCAGTGATTTAAACCTTAGGATGTTTATATGATTTCATGACACCATAGCGTTACTAAATTCTAACTTCCTAAAATAAATCATTTTCGAATCATATGCTATCTATAACAAACTCATTGGTGCTCATAGAACAATTCATTTGGAGTGATTAAAATAACCTTAAGATGTTTTTATGATTTCATGACACCATAAAGTTACTAAATACTTACTTCCTAAAATAAATCATTTTCGAATCATATGCTATCTAAAACAAACTTATTGGTGCTCGTAGAACATTTCATTTGCAGTGATTTAAAAACCTTAGGATGTTTATATGATTTCATGACACCATAGCGTTACTAAATAGTAACTTCGTAAAATAAATCATTTTTAAACCCTATGCTATTAAAAACAAACTCATTGGTGCTCATAGAACAATTCATTTGCAGTGATTAAAATAACCTTAAGATGTTTATATGATTTCATGACACCATAGCGTTACTAAATTCTAACTTCCTAAAATAAATCATTTTCGAATCATATGCTATCTAAAACAAACTCATTGGTGCTCATAGAACAATTCATTTGGAGTGATTAAAATAACCTTAAGATGTTTTTATGATTTCATGACACCATAAAGTTACTAAATACTTACTTCCTAAAATAAATCATTTTCGAATCATATGCTATCTAAAACAAAATCATTGGTGCTCGTAGAATAATTTATTTGTAGTGATTAAAATAACCTTAAGATGTTTATATGTTTTCATGACACCATAAAGTTACTAAATACTTACTTCCTAAAATAAATCATTTTCGAATCATATGCTATCTAAAACAAAATCATTGGTGCTCGTAGAACAATTTATTTGCAGTGATTTAAAAACCTTAAGATGTTTATATGATTTCATGACACCATAGCGTTACTAAATTCTAACTTCCTAAAATAAATCATTTTCGAATCATATGCTATCTAAAACAAACTCATTGGTGCTCATAGAACAATTCATTTGGAGTGATTAAAATAACCTTAAGATGTTTTTATGATTTCATGACACCATAAAGTTACTAAATACTTACTTCCTAAAATAAATCATTTTCGAATCATATGCTATCTAAAACAAACTCATTGGTGCTCATAGAACAATTCATTTGGAGTGATTAAAATAACCTTAAGATGTTTTTATGATTTCATGACACCATAAAGTTACTAAATACTTACTTCCTAAAATAAATCATTTTCGAATCATATGCTATCTAAAACAAAATCATTGGTGCTCGTAGAACAATTCATTTGCAGTGATTTAAAAACCTTAAGATGTTTTTATGATTTCATGACACCATAAAGTTACTAAATACTTACTTCCTAAAATAAATCATTTTCGAATCATATGCTATCTAAAACAAAATCATTGGTGCTCGTAGAACAATTTATTTGCAGTGATTTAAAAACCTTAGGATGTTTATATGATTTCATGACACCATAGCGTTACTAAATACTAACTTCCTAAAATAAATCATTTTTGAATCATATGCTATCTAAAACAAACTCATTGGTGCTCATAAAACAATTCATTTGCAGTGAATAAAATAACCTTAAGATGTTTATATGATTTAATGTCACCATAAAGTTACTAAATAATAACTTCCTAAAATAAATCATTTTCGAAGCATATGCTATTTAAAACAAACACATTGCTGCTCGTAGAACAATTTATTTGCAGTGATTTAAAAACCTTAGGATGTTTATATGATTTCATGACACCATAGCGTTACTAAATTCTAACTTCCTAAAATAAATCATTTTTAAACGCTATGCTATCAAAAACGAACTTATTGGTGCTCGTAGAACATTTCATTCGCAGTGATTTAAAAACCTTAAGATGTTTATATGATTTCGTGACACCATAGCGTTACTAAATACTAACTTCCTAAAATAAATCATTTTTAAACCCTATGCTATTAAAAAAAACTCATTGGTGCTCATAGAACAATTCATTTGCAGTGATTTAAAAATCTTAGGATGTTTATATGATTTCATGACACCATAACATTACTAAATACTTACTTCCTAAAATAAATCATTTTTGAACCCTATGCCATCTAAAAAAAACTTAATGGTACACATAGAACAATTCAATGTCAATAAACATTCAGGGATTTTATGACAGCATAACGTTACTAAATTAAAAATCATGTAAAAGGAGATTTAGTTGTTGTATCAAGTTATGTAAAAGTTAATATTAATTTTGGCTTATATTTAGCATTTTATGAGGTGATTAATATGTAAAAGAAAAAGGGGCTAAAGTAAACCAGCAAATTACAATATTTTGTCTTTTGGCGCGACTTGTCTTTTGTCGACCTGTGAATAAATTAGAAAGCGCGGCTGGCGGTTTAAAAAGTCTAATTACTAAGTGTTTAATTAATATTCAAGACGTTTGATCGCTACGTCGCAGGATTTAAATGTTAATCCCTGCCCGGTCGTTTATTACTTCCTTTACTTCAAACTAAACTGCGATCTAAGGATTTTTCAATAAAGCTTTCTGCTCCATCCTGTTTATTATGCAGTATACACAGATATTAAACACCCTTTCTTGCAACCACCCCAACAAAAAAGTAACAACTTTTAATAAATTATCAAGAATTCTCAGCGTTTGTGTTCCAATTAATAATAAAACAGCGTTTTTGTTTGATCACAAGGCAATAAACAATAAGAGTATAAATTCGGTTGTTTTTATTGGAATAGATGAGGTTTCCCAATAAAAAGTGTAAAATAGCTATCGGCCAGAAAGTTTGTCGAGAGGGACAGATTTATTGGATAAACGTGTAATAAAGTACGGTAATTGCTGTTTTTTGTTTTATAACGCTAGTAGTTCGTCGCCAACCCAATGAAGACAAACAAAAGAGATTAAGGAGTTCTTATTTTAAGTTCCAAGCCATCGTAATTTGATAAAATATTGTGGGGCACACAAATTTATAGTGTTTGTTTTGGGTAAATTGCTTATTGATCGCATAATTCTTGTTTTGCAAGAATTGTGTGTGTTTGTGTGTGTGTTTTCCATTTTCTGTTTTCTTCGAACCACCCGGATAATTAACGTTTTTTTTTCTTTTGTTTATCGTTGTTAATGATGTTAGTTTAGTTTAGTGGATTCAATTACAATAAATTTTCCAGTAAGAAACATTCTTGTTTGCTTTTGGGAATGGAAAGTTTTTCCTTCAGTAACTGGGAGTTTAAGGGAGGGTGTTTAATATCTGTGTATACTGCATAATAAACACCCTCAATAAAAGCTTTATTCAAAAATTCTTTGAAAGCAGTTTAGTTTATAATGTTTTAAATTATCCCCTTCTAGACCCAGATTAAAAATATTTCTTAACGTTAGTAAAAACTAAATTCCCAAATAAAAACAAAACTTATGGTGTTTATAAAACATTTAACACCAACATAATATTCTATTTAAACCTTATGCTATCTAAAGGGAACCCAATGGTGCACATAGAAGGATTCCATACTGGTTATTTACAAAAAAATTTCTCCAGACATAATTTTACTAAATACTTACTTCCTAAAATAAATCATTTTTGAACCCTATGCTATTTAAAACAAACTCATTGGTTCTTATACAATATCATGACACCATAAAGTTACTAAATACTAACTTCCTAAAATGAATCATTTTCGAATCATATGCTATCTAAAACTATCTCATTGGTGAACGTAAAATAATTCATTTGCAGTGATTTAAAAACCTTAGGATGTCTATATGGTTTCATGACACCATAACGTTACTATATACTAACTTCCTAAAATAAATCATTTTTAAACCCTATGCTATCAAAAACAAACAAATTGGTGCTCATAGAAAAATTCATTTGCAGTAATTAAAATAACCTTAAGATGTTTATATGATTTCATGACACCATAGCGTTACTAAATACTAACTTCCTAAAATAAATAATTTTTAAACCCTATGCTATCTAAAACAAATTCATTGGTGCTGATAAAACAATTCAATTGTAGTCATCAACAAACCTTAAGATGTTTATGACACCAAAACGTTACTAAATACATACTTTCTAAAATAAATAATTTTTGGACGGTATGCCATCTAAAATCAACCCAATGGTGCACGCAGAACAATCTAATTCCAGACATTTAAACACCGAACACAACCTCGATGACAGATCGACGGCACAGGCCCGCGTGCAGATGCAAGTCGTGTCGCAGCTCGAGTTGCAGCTTCAAAAGGAACGCGATCGATTACAAGCCATGATGCACCACTTGCATTTGTCCAAGCAAATGGGCTCGCCGGAAGCGCACAAGGATTCCACGGGCGTGACGTCCGGCAAGATGCCGGCTGGCAGCGCGCTGCCGCAGCCGCCCGTCTCCATCGGGCCGATGGTTTCGGCCGTCAGATCGCCGGTGCTGCATCCGACTGCGCCAAACGTTGCCGGACCGATCAGAAGGCGGCTAAGCGACAAATCTGCGCTGTCGTTGGCTGGAGGTGAGTCGAGTGCGAAAATGTGCTTTTTTCTACTAATCACGGTTTTGGGATTCTAAGATATTCTGGAATATTCTAGAAATATTGTAAAATTACTGTTTATGATATTACTCTATCTGCTTTTCTAGAATATTTCAAGAATATATATATTTTGTAATTTCTAACATATTCTGGATTTGAGAAATGTAACATCATAAGTTTGTCTAGAAATTTCCAGAAATTCTAGAATTGGTCAAAATGGTTATTCCTTGTATTTTTTCTAGAAATATCCAATTTACTAGCTGTGGAAATGTCAAAATATAAAAGTGAGGGTTAATTTTAAATTCTGGAACATTCTAGAATCTTAACCGAAATAATATTCTGGAGTGTTCCACGATACTAACACAATACTCTAACTCTGTAATGTGCTTAAACTAAAATATGTTCTATTTTGTGTGTACAGGCTTACCGTATATGCTTGAAAGGGCTGGACTTGATGTACAGCAAGGTATTAACAACTTTTTTTACTAATATGCTAATGCTTTTTTGCAAGTCGAACTAAACATTTACGCCGCAAAATTCTTTTAAATTGTGTCTAAATTAACGTAGGATCTTTTTCAGAAATTCAAAGAAATAGGGAGTTTTATAAAAACGCCGATGTTAGACCGCCATTTACTTATGCCTCGCTTATTCGTCAGGTAAATAAAGTGATACAGTGAGGCGCAAATACTTTCAAGATTTTAAGTTCATTAAAAAATCTTTAAGGTTGTTTTGCACTACTCTGTTAACAACACGAACATTTCGAGCATTTTTACATCAACAAATCAAAATATTTCAGTCCATTATTGAATCGCCAGATAAGCAGCTGACCTTAAACGAAATCTACAACTGGTTCCAGAACACTTTCTGCTATTTCAGAAGAAATGCCGCCACTTGGAAGGTATTGTAACTTTTCAGTTTTCTTTTTACGTCTTATTTATAAACATAATACAAATTTGATGGTTTTTATAGATGAAGTCGCCATTTAAAACAAGTTAATTAAATAATATAAAACTCAATCAAATTGCACCACAAAATCCCATGATTTTGTGGTGCATTTTGTGTAAAACACATAATAAACTAAAGAACTAACTCTTCGTCACTATGTTAAAGCTGTAAACCTATGTCATTTTTGGTAAAGTATTTTACATGTGTAATAAACTTCATTTTCAGGGTTCAGAATTTGCTTACAGCTTGCATGCATTATTTTTATTAATTTCATATAATTTCTGTAAATTATCAATTATTTAATCTTTTGTTTTTAAGTCTAAACGGCGGGATTTATTATTTCTAACGCAGTTTTACAACTTTCTTCTGCTCTACAATCATAAAACTTGTGTATGTGGAACTTTTAGTATTCCACAGCAGAAGAACAACATTCTAGAACTTCTTTTAAAATGATTATTTCAGAAACTACCGGAGTAAGGTAGATCATCATCAATTCTACATTCTTTAGGATTCCAAAATATTCTGTAACATTGTATCACTTGCTAAACTTTCTAGAGTACTTCCAGAATATTTTAGAACACTTTGGAAAACGTTGGAAAGAGCAGAAGGAAGTTTGAGTTGTTGCTTGCGAACTAGAAGCGTATAGAAGAAACAAAAAAAAAAGTAAAGCGTAACAACTTTTCGGTACAGTGTTGGCGTTGTTTGTTTATTTGGCGGTGTTTGATTTGTTGTTAGAATGCTGTCCGGCACAACCTCTCTCTTCACAAATGTTTCATGCGCGTGGAAAATGTAAAAGGTGCCGTATGGACAGTGGACGAGGTGGAATTCTACAAGAGAAGGCCGCAAAGATGCTCGTCGGGCCCGCTGGCCCAGCCAGTCGTCGGGTACAGCATTTTATATTTTTTTATCTATTTTTTAATATTTACATATTTCACATATTGTGTTTTGTGATTTGTGATTTTTTGAACCTCTTAACTTTTTTACAATCTTTTTTATCTATTTTTACTATTATATTAACATGTGGTGTGGTGTGAGAGTGTTTGTATGTACGTATGTTTGTTGGCCGGTTCAGTAACACAGCATGTCCAGCCGCTGGCTTGGGCCTGGGCTACTAACAACCACAAGGACCTCGTCAACAGAACACCAGAACCAACGCAAAGGTGGTATATTATAACTGTATTCAAAACCATTACCAACACCAACTCCTGAACCAAGAATTGCCACCATAAAACATTGCAGTACTTGCTCCAGAACAAGCGTTCTAGAATATTCTCAAATTCATGGCTTGGTTGAGGTGCGAGGCTGTTGGTGCGGTTTAGTCCGTTTGGTCGCCGAAGACTGGTCCTAAAAGCTCCGAACTAACCTAGACCTCTAACTTGATTGTTATCTTTCTCTTTCTTGGGTCATGATGGGTGTGTTTAGAACGCGATACGCACCAATCTCTCTCTCCACAAGTGTTTTGTACGTTACGAAGACGACTTCGGCTCGTTCTGGATGGTCGATGACGCAGAGTTTGTGAAACGGCGCCACTTGTCCCGTGGCCGACCACGGAAATATGACCCAACCCCGTCACCCACTCCACCCTACTACGCACAGTAAGCACCTCCCGAGAACAAAAACAACACACCCGCGCAACGACATCTTTTTGACACTCTTCCCGAGCAACATTTCAAAGTGCTTTAGAATATTCCAGCGCATTTTAAAATGTTTTGGTGATATTCTAGAATATTCCAGGGCACCTTTAAATGTTTTGGTGATATTCTAGAATATTCCAGGACATTTTAAAATGTTTTGGTAATATTCTAGAATATTTTAGAATATTATAGAATATTCTTGAATATCCTAGAATATTCTAGAATATTTTAATGTTTTGGTGAAATATTCTACAATGTTTAAAATTTTCATAGAATATTCTTAAACATAGAAGTTCAAAAAAATGTCGTCATAGCGTCAAATACTGCAGTTTTAAACTTATTAGACTCTGTCTATAACTTTAACACTAAAGTATAGTGTACCTAATTCGTAAAAAATGTGCTGCTCGGCTCTGCTTTTATTATTATTATTATTATTGTAAATTGTAGGTTTTTTTTTTGTAAATGCAAATCCAAAATCGTTCACCGAAAGTTATAATAAAATACACTGCACCTCTTTTCTTTTAAAACTCTCTTAACTTTCGATAGGACGATTATTGGCAAATACAACACTTATTTTGCTTAAATACTTGATGATAATCTTCTTCTATGAAGTCCGATGCAGCCACACAAACTATATTCGCTTATGCTTGCCTTGCATGCAACCCCAAACCCTACAGGGTGTTTCACAAATCGACGGAAAAAAACGGAGTACTACCTCCGATTTTGTCCCTTTAAATTTTTAAACACCCTGTATATTTCGAAAAAACCATGAAAGAAAAGATACGATCTTTATCAAGGTTTCTGTTTTATATTATTTTCAATCATTTCCGTGTAAAAAAATACCTTAATTCGTGTTTGTTAACTTCTATTATTTTAATTATTCCATCCCACAATGATTCAGAGTACAATTCTAGCCGGACAAATATTTAATTTATACAGGGTGAGTTTAGAGGAACGCGACATAATGCTTTTGTCCCTTTCTATGGAACTAATTTAATTTCATTCTCGTACATGCGCGTAAGTACACTTTCACTAACAAGCGCTAGCAATATGGAAGCATATATGGACTTTTGAGATAAATACAAAATATTGAATACACTTCAGGATTTGTCCGGAAAGAGTTGTGTATTGAATCAGTCCGATCCCGTCCATGCACGTTAAATAGCGGCTGAGAAGCAGAAATAGAAACTAGATTTAAAAAAAAAGAAAGAAAAACTGATACCTAGTTAAGCGGGCTTTTTGGAATGTTTGGATATAGCTCTAAAATGCGTGTAAAATTTTCTGTAATTATTGATTTTCACTTTTGTCTTGTTTTAATATTTTTCGGCAGAAAATTTTGCATGTATTCGCGATACAAAGGCATGTAAAGAATGAATGTGTATATAATAGAATTTCCATGGGAAATTAAATTTTCCTACTAAATGACCTTTGATGAACAACGGTGTGGTAAAAAAGGTATATTTTATATAACTAATATTAATTTTTGACATTCTTTTTATATATATCTCTCTTTTAAATACTCTAAATGTTTTTCCATCTTGCATGTTTTATATTATTTAGTAGAGTTCCTGTATACTTTTGATCTATTTTTGACTTTTTCAATTTTTTATTCTATAAGTCACTAAATCAATTAAAGTCACTCAGTCGGTCAGTAATCCAGCCTGGGCATCAAAATGGTAAGTTATATTTATACAGGAACAACTAGAAATTTTAGTTATTTTGTATTAAACGCGACAAACAAACAAGTTCAGTCTATTATTCACAGTTTGATGTAAAAGGTTTTAAAAAAAAATCTTTTTCATAACACTCCAGGTCAACTGTTGGTACGTTATTTTTACTCTTTTTTTAAATTTTGCTTAACGTTTTTATATCTTGATGTTTATCTAAATGTTACGATTTCAGGACAAACCATCAAATTACTTATTAATATTATTTTATCAGGGGGTCCCAGTCTAAGAGTCCCACCATGAACCACAGCCCCACTTTGTATGGGGACCACATTTCACAGAATGTTCAGGTAAGTTTACAAAAAATACAAATATTATAAACAAGTAACAAAAAATATCCACGTTTTCAACTTTTATATTATTAATAAGTATGTTTACATTGTCAAAATCTATATTAACAGTTTTATGACTAGATGAAATACGAATATATTTGGTTTAACTTAGATTTAGACACATATCTATTATTATCACAAATCCTTTTATAAATATTTTCTAATTCTAAATTTAAAATATTTACCATATCAAAAATATTATCACGAACATAAATCATAGTATTATCTGCAAACATAGAAATATCACAATCTTTGGCATACTTTGGCATATCATTTATATACAATAAAAATAATGGAGGTCCCAAAACAGTACCCTGAGGTACTTCATAAGGGTTTTCAATTTTATCTGACATAACATTATTAATTTTAACAATTTGAGATCTATTGGTTATAGATTAACCAAACCATTTTAAATCAACTTCCGGAAAAACCTATTTCATTAAGCTTTTCAAGCAATAATTCCCAATTTACAGTTTCGAAAGCTCAAAATAATAATTTTACCCTTATCAATTTCTTTAACAAATTTGTCATAAACATGCAAGACAACAGATTCACAACTGTGAGTTTTTTCTAAACCCTGATTGATTCTTCACAATTTCACTATAATTTACACAATATTGATCAATCTGTTTTTTACACATAATTTCAACACTTTGTTCGGAACTAAGTTTCAGAAAGAGGAGAGATGATGCTATGTTGTCATTTTCGGGTAGATCAATGGTGAATGTGGTTTCTAAGCGAAAAACAAATGTCTGATGGTGCCATTGCAACCTTAAGGTTCGGGCTATGTCGAGGTCTGTTAAACCATGTGGCATCCAAATATCTAGCTTCTTCTTCAAATTGTTTTGGTAAACCTTTTTCATGATTTTCGTTCATTGGTCCACCAGATCGTAATGCATCTTTGACATCATCTCTTCAACTTTTAAATCTGCGATCAAGAGCAACATTTTCACTATTTTCACTTTAAGTTCATGCAGGCTTCATTGATGGAGGAGAACAACTTGTCGTTTTTGAGTAATTCGGCGCTGATGGCGAGACACAGAGACAGATCTGAGTCGCCGTCGCACGATCACCACATGAGGTATGAGGTGTGAGGATTTTCCGAAATGGTTTTTATAGGTTGAGGGTTGGTTGTAGGTCCCCGATGAACGGCGGTCTTCATATTAAGCAGGAAGGTATGATGAACGATCAGCAGCATCATATTTCGCGGGAACAAGAGCAAATGCAGATGCAGCATGTGATAAAGCGCGAGATGCAGAACGAGTACGAGGATTTGGACCACGAGCGGAATTCCGACAACATGGCGGAAGATCTGACAATGGGTTCGGACCATACCGAGTCGAACCTTCTTGACGCATAGTGTGTTTGAGCGTTGTGAAAGTGCGGTGGTTTATGGTAGGTAATACTCGAATCGATGATGATGATGACGAAGGAAGGAGGAATAGATTCATATCCAAATCTGATGCTGATTGACTGTTGTACATTGACGTGTAAATAACTAATTGAAAATGTTAAGTGGACTGTTAATTGTTTAGAAGCGAAGTTTGTTGTATAATCAATATCCGTATAGATCTTCATTTCTTTATTAATACAGGGTTATTTGTTACTTGGTGGACTTGGCCTAGCCAATAATAATAATTAAATAATATTGATGATGAACTTTTTTGACTTAGAGACTTGCGACGACAGTTCTGGCATATCAAAAGTGTGGAACTGTAATTTTTGTGTTTAAAAGGTATCGTTACGCTCATATAGTGATGTAAAAAATAAGCAATATTGTAAATTATTATCGTTATTAAGCATTCGTGCTATTATATTCTATCTTTATCTTTACGAAAGGAAAATTAATTCCATATCATTATCTAAAGTAAATCATATATCAGTGTATAAATAGTAGGTAATACGTTTCCTATACATACTTATTACATACGTTTAGCAAATTTCTTTCGCTACACTAAGTATTTATTCTTTGTTCATACCTATCGTTTTTTATTTGTTACGTAATATTTTCGCCATTTGTAATATCGAGATGCCAAATACATTCACGTACATGTGATAGTACCTTAGTTCTTCGGATTTATTACCCAATCTAGAAGTTTTAGATAGATATTAAGCGTGATATATTGCATGGACTTTATTTGCAAACGTAAGATTTTTTTGAGATGAACTAAACAAGCCGAACATTTTAATTAGAAAATACTCTACTCTACTTTACGAATAATTAGTACATATCATCAAAACTGTTTCGGTCATCTAACAGTTTTTTAATCAATTTTTATGATCAAACGCGCTTTTTTACTTCATCTCGCCTTTTTTAACTATCCATCACTATCTTCATGTAAAATGTATTGTACGGTTACTCGTATATCAGTTTCCATTTGTTTAAACAAATTATAAATAAATTACAATAAATTCAGCAATACCCACGAGTTTTACTTACAATCCCACCCCATTTAATTGCATATAATAAACAGTCCTTGTATTGTAATGCAATAAAAATAATAAAAAGTAGATTTATTGTTTTTTTTATTTTTGCACACCTTACTGCCTTAACACCCTGTATAAACACAACCAGTTTAAGAAAATACACTACAAATTTGATAAAGTAAGTATTAAAATTTCCGTAACGCAAAATTTGATTTCAAGAAGATATGACCCGGAATAATGAAATATTCTTAGAACCTTCCCTTATTGCTAAGAATGTTCTTAGGGACTTTTGAAACATTCAATAGATACCCTTTTAATGATGCAATTAGATTCTTAAAAGATTCTTAAAACCTTCCAAAAAAGCATCCTAAGAACATTTTCAGAATACGTTTTTGAAATGTTCTTAGAAGGTTTCTTATGGAGCTTCTAGGAAGCTTTTGAGAATATTTCCAAATATGTCAGATACCCACGTTCTAATATGTTGTATTCTACATTCGTAAAATTCTTCAGGAGACGACAAATACGCCTCACTGTCATAATATGACAGTGAAATGTATTTGTCGTCCCCTTAAAAAAATTTGCGAAATATTAATATTTATTTATTTAAAAATATTAAATAAACAATTTGACCTCTAAACCATAAGTTGTATGACATTATTTCATAAAAAGTAAAATTGGAAAATTTTGTGGGATAAGTCAGATTAGATTGAAGTTGAAGATAGTTAGGATTATTATACATAAAAATGTTAATTCAGAAATAAAAAATCGGTATACAAATTAATAAATATTTATTTTTAACATAAAATAAAATACCTATAGTAAAAGTATTTTGTTATCGAATATTGTTTTAATTTGACAAATAACTATAAAAAAATATTTTGGATTGTTTTTTTTACTTAGTATTTAATACTAATTACTAATTAGGTACTACTACTAAGTATAGGTATATACCTTCCTACGTAGATTATGGTATATTTTACTATTATATAGGTAACTGAACTAAATATGCTTAACAGGAATATTACTAAATGAACTTTCTATAGCAATTACTTTCTTAACATTCTAAGCATATGTTTAGAGTAGACTAATTTTTACCACTAAAACTTTGCACCTTCTAAGAACCTACCTATAGGCCAGTAAGAATATTCTTAGGATCATGCTATATGTCTTTTAAGCATGTTCTTTAGAAGAAATATAGCATGATCCTAAGAATATTCTCACTGGAAGGTTTAAAAAACATTCTTAGAATAAAGTGTGCTATCAGGGCTTTGGTAACTTTAACATTTTTAAATTAATTAATTAAATAACTCAAGAAAATTGGTATAGGAAAATTTGTCTTGGAATCTCAAGAGGAATTTACTTTTACCCTTTGGGTCGCCAATTTTGAGACACCCTGTATAATAAGTATATCTTACCAAATCAGCAAATTTTTGTTAATTTCAATACAAAAAATCGTACAAACTAATAAATTACGCTTAAAATAGACCAAACAAAGGATAAGTATCACAGTCAAAGAAAAATTTGTACAGGTAATTATCGCAAGAATTTCGACGGTGGTATAAAAAATACACCCGTGCAACTAATTAGCGGTTAGGCACAATTCTCCAAAAAACTGATGGCAGATTTGTAATTTACGACCTCGATTTAGTAAACCTAGACACCCCACATCCCCTAAAAACATCTTAAAATATGCACATACTTACCTGTGAAAGTGTGTGGAAATATGCGAATGGTAGCGCCGCCTATTTCACAGTGTATGAACTATACACTTTAGTCTGGTAATGAATTGTTTGAAATTGCAGAAATTTAATCAATTTTTAAATGACTTGTAACGACATCTATCTCACAGTGGATGAACTACTACACTTTATTTCTTTGTTCGAACATTTCCAAGGATTTTCTTTTCTAAAAATAATGCTTTCGTTACGTCGGTTTCATATAGATGCGAATTGCGAGATGCGAACTATTTTAGGAACATTGTTTTCTTACTAGGCGATATTTTCAATGCTATTTTACACATTGACAAGTTGTGGCTTTATGGCGCTTTAGTCACGGGCTGAAGTTAGCAACCGGTTTTTAGTCACGGGCTGAAGTTAGCTTTAAGTTAGTTGACAGTTGTCAAATGTCATACAATCGTTAAAATAAAGAACCTTTCTTTTAAAATATTACTAAATGTGAAAATTATTTTATTATCTCAATACAAAAATATTAAATAGGTTCTTAACGCCAATTTTAAAAAGATTGTATGAACGTTTGTACTGACCTTTTGATTTCGCCGTAATAGTGCAGTTAACTAGATTTAACTGATAAAGCGTTTAAATTTTTTCCTAAAGTGCCCATAAAACATTCTCTTTTCTTTTACTGTGAAAAAATAATTCTATATCGATTGTTAGTCTATTTTCAAGGAATAAATTTTGATTTACACAGAAAAATTTGAGATTACAGGAATTCCAATAAATACTTTTTGTACCTTTAGCATTTCCCGTGTAAGATGTTTCCATGACACTAAGTGACCTTTTAAATACACATTGACAAGTTGTGGCTTTATGGCGCTTTAGTCACGGGCTGAAGTTAGCAACAGGGTTTTAGTCACGGGCTAGTTGACAGTTGTCAAATGTCATACAATCGTTAAAATAAAATGCCTTTCTTGTAAAATAATACTAAATGTGAAAATTATTTTATTATCCCAATACAAACATTCAAAAGTATTAAATAGTTTCTCAACGCCAATATTTGAACATTGAACTGACCTTTTAATTTCGCCGGCAGTACACTATAACTTAAATTCGGGCACGGCTCATAAAACATTTTCTTTACTTTCACTGTGAAAAACTGACAGTTTTCAAGAAATACATTTCGATTTATAACCTTTATAATCTGTGTTTACAAAATATAAAAATGTGACATTTGACGGTGACACACAGATTCCCCTATTGTTTCATAGATGGCGCTCTATAAAATTTTTTGATTTAAATCATTTTAAGATAATAATACGTATTTGTCGTAGAAAAAGTATAGTATGCACCTCGTTTATAAACTTTTCTATACACTCATTAATTTAAGCACTCGCTCGCAAGCTATTAACTACTAATTAAATATTTATAATATACATTATAATAATTGGTAGGTATGTAAAATGAGAAAAATGTGTGTCAGTGATTGAAACTGCGGACACGAGAGAGAGAAGCAAACAGCAAAAGGGAAGGGTGCACGAAATGAAAAGAGAACTAGTAGGGTAGTATTTTAAGGGACCGAAGGATGGCGTTGCGGAGTAGACATCCCGACGCCGGACGTCGCTTCTAAAGGTTTGCCATCCGCCGATGTAATGCGGGGTGAGGCTTTAAAACGATTCCGAGATTTACAAACCATTGTAAATGCAACAAAAAGCAAAACATGTTCAAGTGATACGAATAAATTAAACTGTGTTCAATAATATTCTAACGGAACGGCCGGGCATCCGAGATTGTTTGTATTTGTAATGTTAGTGATCTCGAAATGGAGAACGACTGGTTTTTAATTTTTTATTTATGTAAACAAACAAACACTTTTTTTTACTATGGATCAATCATTCCGTTACTGCCCCGGTAAGAATCAACGCCTGCTTCCTATAGGTTCTTTATTTATTATTTTTCTACATAATACATAATATGTCATACATTATTTATATACAGGTGCTTAAAAAATAGTCTAAATATCTAGTAGTTTACAAAACTGCATGATTATGAATTTGGTTTAATCACAAAGAAATTGTAATACGCTACAGTGCGCCGCTGTCTTTTCCCCAGACGTACGTACGTTCAATTTACTCCCGGTTTGCGCAAGTCGACTCAATTTCGTCTTACTGCCTTGCAATTTCTCAAAACTAATTGTCTTTTACATATGCCCATTAGAATTAGTGTCATTGACCCTATTTTTCTTTGATTGATTAGAGAATATAGGGCAATTCGTAACACTTAGCCACACCCAAATGGGATCAATATGCTTTCCTACTTACAACTTGTCTATCAATTTAACTGCTTATATAGGTTATATAATTATTATTTGCATTAATGTTCAATATTTTAAGCAAAATTCATTAACAAACATCATAAAACAACTACCCTGATGGCAAAATTTGATTTTAAGAATCTTCTAAGAAGATATGACCCGGAATAATGGAATATTCTTAGAACCTAAAAACATTCAATAGATACCCTTTTAATGATGCAATTAGATTCTTAAAAGCTTTTTAAAACCTTCCTAAAAAGAACATTTTAAGAATACGTTTTTGGAATGTTCTTAGAAGGTTTCTTATGGAGCTTCTAGGAAGCTTTTGAGAATATTCCCGAATATGTCAGATACCCACGTTCTAATATGTTGTATTCTTCATTCGTAAAATTCTTCAGGAGACGACAAATACGCCTCACTGTCATAATATGACAGTGAAGTGTATTTGTCGTCCCCTTAAAAATTTTTCGACATATTAATATATATTTGTTTAAAAATATTTAATAAACAATTTGACCTCTAAACCATAAGTTGTAAGACGTCTTCTTACATTACACATTATTTCATAAAAAGTAAAATTGGAAAATTTTGTGGGATTAGTCAGATTAGATTGAAGTTGAAGATAGTTAGGATTATTATACATAAAAATGTTAATTCAGAAATAAAAAATCGGTATACAAATTAATAAATATTTATTTTCAACATAAAATAAAATTCCTATAGTAAAAGTATTTTTGTTATCGAATATTGTTTTAATTTGACAAATAACTATAAAAAATATTTTGGATTGTGTTTTTTACTTAGTATTTATTACTAATTAGGTACTTAAGTATAGGCATATACCTTTATACGTAGTTTATGGTATATTTTACTATTATATATGCTTAACAGGAATATTCCTAAATGAACTTTCTATAGCAATTACTTTCTTAACATTCTAAGCACATGTTTAGAGTAGACTAATTTTTACCACTAAAACTTTGCACCTTCTACGAACCTGCCTATAGGCCAGTAAGAATATTCTTAGGATCATGCTATATTTCTTTTAAGCATGTTCTTTAGAAGAAATATAGCATGATCCTAAGAATATTTTCACTGGACATTCTTAGAATAAAGTGTGCTATCAGGGTTAAATTTTCCCGCATAAAATGTAAATAAAATGTTTCACTAATTTAATACCAAAATAAAAATGCTGTAAACTAAAGAATTATGGCATAATATAAAATAATTGAGCTATAAATATATACGTTCATATCATATATTTAACCATATTGTTAGTAAGTGCATAACGCATTTCTTAAGATTTATTTATTCGTATGAACCACGTTTTCTAGCGCATGCTCTTAGAGTTACGCAATGACTTCGGTAAAACACGTCGTTTAAGCGACGCGTCGCGACGCTAGATGAATGTATATGTATTTATATAGCTATCAGTGTGTTTTTGGATTCGTAGTGTTAGTTAAATGGATTAATTTAACGTTTTTCATTTAAGTTATTGGACAAGCACCTAATAAGAACTACAATTAATAATAACATTATTTTTCGCTCCCACGATGTGGTATGTAGAGATTTTGTATTTTTAAATCCTATTTTTATTATATATCTATTTTTATAATAACGTGTAATTGTTTTTGGCACCAATATATAGCTCTTGCATTTACTCATAGCTGCTTCCTAAAAGTAGCTATTTCCGTTTATTTTTTATACTTAAAATTAATATTATAAATAATTATGACGATTTTTTTGCTCGAAAATAAAAATAATATACTTATAATAAAACAACTCTGACAAATTGGGCAAAACATAATCTCTATATAAACATGTATGATAAGCAAATTTACCTACGGATGAAGGTACATAGATTAAAAGAGAAATCGATATTTTATTCTTCCATTCATTGAAAACTAACAAAATGACGTAAAATCTGAATAGATTAATATTACTATTATTAAGCATTATCAGTGCCTTGTTATAATGAAAGCAGGCGCATAAAACAAAACAAATCAACTTTTTAAATTAAACGTTCAGGCATGTTAGCCAGATGTGCATTGCAAACTGAAACTTAATTATACAGGGTGTTTTACGTTCTTAGTCCATTACAAATTTCTGGGGAACGGCAAAAGATATCGATTTGAAATTGTTAAAGCCCTTTTAATACAATTAATTCTATTTTTATAAAAGATTTTGAACAAAATGCTACTTCCGGTTTGACTGCAAGTGACATCAACATTGTTATTTCAAATAGAACATAGAATATATTTTTACATTTGGTTATTTGTTAGTTTTTTTTGTTAAATTTTGAAAAATGTGCGTCAATACAAAATGAAATTTTTGGAATCTTTAAACATTGTTTAAATAATTTTATGACAATTCTTTAACATACGAGGTGTGTTCAGAAAATAACGGGAATTGTTAAATTTCGCGGGTTCGGAGGGTCCGGTTGTCATACAATTTTTTTTATTATTATGTTGGTATACATGCCCCGAAGTATGTTAAAACCTTAGCTGTTTTCATTGTTTACTTTGTCTGTGGCAGCCGCTAAGGTTAGACGTGTTTTATGAGCTCGGCGATTTTTCGTTCGTTAAAAGAAATGGATCAAAGAATTTGTATCCAATTTTGCTTAAAAAATGAAATAAATTCTGTGGAATGTTAACAAAGGCCTATAGTGAGTCTGGTTTAACCGTAAATAAAGATATTATTATTATTATTATTATTATAAGTAAAACAAGAGTTTACAAGTGGTATAAGAGTTTCCAAGATGGCCGTAAAGACGTTGAAGATGACGAACGCCCCGAACGCACAAGCACATTAACAACCGATAAAAACATGGAAAAAGTGAAAGAAATGGTTATAAACCATCAGAGAAGTCGCTGATGATGTTGGTATATCGATTGGCTCATCCCATGAAATTTTTTCGAATGTTTTGGGTATGAAACGCGTGGCAGCAAAATTTGTTCTAAAATTGTTAAATTTTGAACAAAATTTTTGGCCAAAAACAATACTGTAATGATGCCCCAGCCTCCATATTCGCCAGACATGCCTCTGTTTGACTTTTTCCCATTCCCAAAAATAAAAAGAACCTTAAAGGGCCGTCGTTTTGCAAGCATAGATGACATTAAAATCGCATCCCAAAGATCGAGTTTTAGAAGTGTTTCGAGTATTGGAAGAAGAGCTGGCACATGTGCATAATATCCAATGGGGACTATTTTGAAGGCGACAACATTAATGTAGACGAATAAATAAATATTTGTTTCAAAAAACTAAAATTCCCGATATTTTCTGAACACACCTCGTATCTCAACAAATTACTTAAGAAAAACCACAAACTTTAATAACTTTCTTATTTTAAATGTAACACCCTGTATGTTTTTACATAATCAAATGGGAAATTAAAAATCACTTTGATTGATGCAGAGCTGAGAGTATCTTGAAAAAAATACTTAAAAGTAATCTTGTAACTTTTATCTAAAAAAGTATCTTAGTTACTCGGTAAAGTAAAGAACGTGCTTAATGTTGCAAATTTACGTATTAGGTCATGCAGTCAGTCATAAGAGTACTTATCAAATGTTTGCAGATAATGGCCCTTTCCACTTTCCACTTGGTTAGCCTCGTTTGTTCTTCACATAGAATGCTTCCTATTGTCAGGTGGTTAGTCCGCCAGGTATGCTGTCACTTATCACTTCCGTTACCGTAAGGTAGCCTTTAATTCACTGTAGATACAATGCATTACTGTAGGATTAGTTTATTGTGGGATGTAAAATTTTTGGTTTTAAGCGAGGTCTCGGTTACTATGTCTTACCTCGTCAAGACTTCGAATGCGACTAGTAATTTTACTCAAAATTGTATGTAGAATTTAATAATGTAAAAATATATGGGGTGTTCTATTTAAAATAACAAAGTTGATGGCATTTCCGGTTAATGGTTAAATGGATTATAAACGCTTTTAAAATCTTTTTCCGTTCCCCAGAAACTTCTAATGGACCATGAATGGGATAAAAAAGTAATTTTTGTATTTTTTTAATGTAGCGGATGTTACAGGAGCGCAGTATGAGGTCGGACAGGAATGTTTGGAGGAAGGAGCAGCAAATTGCAAGAGTAGATACAACAACAAGGAGAACAACAACCGATTGTGGTCCGTCGAAGGTGCGTACGGACTATCTTTGGGGGGTTGTGGCGCATGGCAAGGCCCCATTAACGCGACAACAAACATCGGCGGCGGCGGCGGGACAGGGGCGATGAGCGGCGCGGGGGCGGGCGTGACGAGCCCGCAAACACAACAGGGGGCCCAAACGCCAACAGCCCCCCCGAAGAGGCCCGTGCGACGCGGGGCCAAGCCGCCACCTGATCGGCCGCAACGAGCTCTCTTCTGTCTGTATCTCAAAAATCCCGTTAGAAAGCTCTGCATTGAAGTCGTTGAATGGAAGTATCCTTTTTTGTAAACCTTAAACCCCATACCAGAATTCAGAAATGATTTTATAAAATGTTAAGATCTTTGATCAATAGAAGTCGTTGTGTCACCATTGGGGATTGCAATTGCTGGATCACTCATCCATAATCCAGCTGGATCCAGCGCACTTTTCAGCCAGCACTGCGAATCCGCAAATAGTTAGCTTTCCAAATAATGGCGCAAAAGTCTACGTTCTGTGCAACACCCCTTTCTACACCGCACTTTTCACTCTCGATGGATAAAGTTTCATGCTAAATTATTATTATTTAGCATGAAACTTTATCCATCGAGAGCGAAAAGTGCGGTGTAGAAAGGGGTGTTGCACAGAACGTAGACTTTTGCGCCATTATTTGGAAAGTTAACTATTTGCGGATTCGCAGTGACACTTAAGTGTCTTCTTGCCACCGCTGTGACCCGGAATGTTTGTTGTGAGAATTGTGAGTAAAATGACTGAATTTTAATTTAAGTAAAAATCAGTTTAAAAATTTATAAATTGCTAAAAACCCTGCTGGATTCCTGGCATTAACTGGGTAGAGTGTTGCCATCAAAAAGCCCAAAAGAAAATTTTAAAATATTTTGGACTGAACAAAAAATGTTCTTAACTTTTCCTTAACCCAATCTTCAGACCCTTCGAATGGCTAATTTTATTTACGATATTTGCGAACTGCGTTGCCTTAGCCGTTTACACTCCATTTCCCTATAGCGATTCCAACACAACAAATGCATACCTGGTAAGTACCTACAGGGTGTTATAAAGGTTCCCGAATGGAAATTTATTGGTAAAGTGAAAAAAAATTCATGGTTTAAATCAGGCTAGTTTGGAGGCCAAATCCTGGAAACAACTATTCAGACCATCAGCTCATGCTAGCAATGTTTAGAAAAAATCTTGTTGAAGAGTAAAACATTATTGCGGTCAATATAAAGTGAAAGTGAATTAAACAGATGACAACTGTCAGTAACAGAATTTGAAAATTGATAAATTCATTTGGTACCTAGCGTGACGTCACTGTGTTATAATATAAATTGTATAATGGTATATTGGTAGGTATAATAGGCGTGTCAAGTTTTACGAATGAAAAATTAAAAATCCGAACATAACCAAATTCTTTAATAGTTCTAATCTTTTTAATTGTTATAAAACCATTAACAGCATATTTTAGTATACAAATTTGACATTTTGACCAAGTTAGAAATTGTTACGCGAGTTTTTTTGTATAGATGTCACTCTATATTAAATTTAAATCAATTTTAGATAATGAAAAAATATGCGCGTCAAAATTAACGCATAATAAGTAAAAACGCCTTTATGAAATTTTGTATAAGAATACTTCAACTTATATCTCAGTTTACTTTGAAATATTTTTAAAGCCCTTTTATTCAATATTACATTTTTTTCATTTGCGAAGATTCCTAGAGCATTCTTGAAAAAAAAGCCGATGCATTGGTTTTTGTTCAATGGTTTCATGTGGGCGATTTTTATTGAACTGTATTCAAGTTGCATAAAAGTTGGTTCTTAGAACTTGCTCTGTGAAGGACATTTATATTCTGATAACTTTTATTTAAAAATGGGAGGGGTCATTATTGAACGTTATTATATTATTTTAGGAAAAAATTGAGTACATATTTTTGGTTATTTTTACGGTCGAATGCATAATGAAAATAATTGCGTATGGGTTTTTGATGCATCCGGGCGCGTATTTACGCAACGGTTGGAATTTGCTTGATTTTACAATAGTAATTATAGGGTAAGTTCTATAACAACATAAAATATTCAATATTAAATTAAAATTATTTTAGTATGATAAGTACTGCGTTATCTTTTCTTACGAAAGACAGTTTTGATGTAAAAGCTTTAAGAGCTTTCAGAGTTCTTCGGCCGTTAAGGCTGGTGTCTGGTGTTCCAAGTAAGTTTTTAATACTCTTAATTATATATAAAATTATTATTCGCTTTTTTAGGTTTACAAGTTGTATTGAACTCGATTTTACGTGCCATGGTGCCTTTATTACACATTGCTTTATTGGTATTGTTTGTTATAATTATTTATGCGATCATTGGGTTGGAATTATTCTCAGGAAAACTGCATATGACATGCTATAAAAACAGCACAAGTATATATCCAAAACAATTAAAACGTTTCTTAACCAGAATTTGACGTTGTCGAGCATAACATAAAAAACAATGCCACTGATGACATTTTAAAACACGTTTTGTTCACGAATGTTACCTTCGATTTATTTTAACTCAAGTTTTTATTAAGAAACCCAAACTCAATGTTTCAAACTTTTATTATCTTAATTTTATTTGATAAACAGTATAATCTTTAATCATCTTTGTACCTATATGAGTTTGAGTCCATTGCGTTCCGTACTGTCCCCTATTTGGGGCTCGAGAGCGAAATACCAATAGTTTTAATAGCCATTCCCGGGTTCGCCGAGCCGATGCTATACGCCCAATTAATCATCTTTGTACCTATATCGAATAAAATTAAGCCTGAAAGTTTGAGTTTAATTCAAACTCAACATTCAAACAATTTTGTAATTTTTAGATGAAGAAATGGACGGAGCTCATCCTTGCGGTTTTGGTTTCAGTTGTTCAGACCTTGATGTTGAATACGTTTGCAAAGACGGTTGGGAAGGACCAAATAGTGGAATAACTAATTTTGACAATTTCGGATTGTCCATGTTAACAGTTTTTCAATGCATTACATTAGAAGGCTGGACCGATGTGCTTTATAATGTATATTTATTCATGTAATAATTTATTTTAATTTAATTATTCATTCGACTTTTTAGATACAAGATTCAATGGGAAGAACGTGGCAGTGGTCGTATTTCGTTTCGATGGTGATCTTAGGTGCATTTTTCGTTATGAACCTAATTCTTGGTGTCCTAAGCGGAGAATTTTCCAAGGAAAGAGAAAAGGCAAAGGCTCGTGGTGATTTTCACAAGTTAAGGGAAAAGCAACAATTAGAAGAAGACTTAAAGGGTTATTTGGATTGGATTACACAGGCTGGGCTTATGGAGGAAGAAGGAGAAAACGATCAGAACCAAGAAAACGTTTTAAGAAATAATGCCAACGAAATGGAATCGAGCGACCAAATGGGCGAGGAAGAAATAGTGCAAGATTCTTGGTTTGAAAAGCGGAAGAAAAACTTCGAAAGGGTTAATCGTAGAATGCGAAGATCTTGCAGGAAAGCCGTCAAGTCACAAACTTTTTATTGGTTAATTATAGTTTTGGTATTTTTGAATACTGGTGTCTTGGCCACCGAACATTACAATCAGCCGGTGTGGTTGGACGATTTTCAAGAGTACACCAACATGTTTTTTATTGCCCTTTTTACAATGGAGATGTTGCTGAAGATGTACAGCTTAGGATTTAATGTAGGAAAAATATAATTGCTGCCTATTTTTATTTAAACACATATTTTTAGGGTTACTTTCTTTCACTTTTTAATCGGTTTGATTGTTTTGTTGTTATCGGAAGTATTTCCGAGATGATTTTAACAAACACGCACGTAATGCCCCCTTTGGGTATTTCTGTACTTCGTTGTGTTAGATTGCTTAGAGTTTTTAAAGTTACCAAGTAAGTTTTCAACACCACAATTTATTTGTATCATTTTAATATGGCTTTTTAGGTACTGGCGATCACTATCCAACTTGGTAGCTTCATTGTTGAATTCAATCCAATCAATTGCCTCCTTGTTACTTTTACTTTTCTTATTTATTGTTATCTTTGCCTTACTTGGAATGCAAGTTTTCGGAGGAAGATTTAATTTCAAGGACACCCAAGAAAAATCCCGATATAATTTTGATAGTTTTTGGCAAAGTTTATTAACTGTGTTTCAGGTAAGTTAAATTAAATAAATACACAGGTTTTGTATCCAAGCAGCCATCAGGTCAGGTTTTGAAAATTTAGCTCATCAATTGTTATTTTATTAAACGTAATACCTTCGCAAACCTTGGGAAAGTTGAAACTGAACTGATGACAGAAAATGGGTGCCGGATTTGAAAAAAGTTGACCGATATTTGTGTTATTATTAACGTACTTTTTTAGATATTAACAGGTGAAGATTGGAATGCTGTTATGTATGAAGGCATAGCTGCCTATGGAGGAGTTAAATCATTTGGTGTTTTGGCCTGCATTTATTTTATTATTCTATTTATTTGCGGTAATTGTATCCTTTTTTTCTTGAGGTCATCCTTATCATCATGAAGTAGACCTTTTAATGTTTTTCTTAACTCATAAATCGTAGACATACTGTTAAACGTTTTCTTGGCTATCGCTGTAGACAATTTAGCAGATGCGGAATCCCTAACAGCAATCGATAAAGAAGCTGAAGAGGAAGGAAAGCAAAAGTCGAAAAGCCCGACTCCAACTGGCGATGAGGAGATCGATGTGGAGGAACATTATATGGGAGAAGAGTATGAGGAGGTCACCGAGGAAGAAGGCCAATATGACTCAGAAAGGTACATATTCAACATAAAGTTAGTAGCTAAATGAAAGTGGTGGGATATTTTTTAGATATGAAGAAGATGGCGAGGGGGAGTTTCAATCAAAGGATATAGATGCAGATGAGAATAATATGGATGAAGAACAAAACAGTAAGGGTATGTTTTTATTTATTTTATACAGGTATTTTAATGCTTCAAGACACACCCACGTATTAGATGTGCTAATAAATATGTAGCTAGAATGGAAACAATGAATAATCATTTTCAGAGGAGGATTATGTAGATGAAACAAAAGATTCCGCTAGACCTCGACGATTATCAGAGGTTATAATAGTTAAGAAAGTTCGACCGATTCCAAAAGGAAGTGCTTTATTTATTTTTTCCCATAAAAACAGGTAGGCACCTTAAAACGGAACATAGATGCAGAAGCGAGCAAGGTGTTGTATATCGCGTGGCTCGTAAACTTCATGCAACTATGTTTGAATAGAATAAATTGTAATGCTGTTGCGTGCGAACTTACAGATGGCGACGAAGGCGAATCAGGAAGCGGAAACGGGCGGCAAACTCGTCGTTTATCAGAAATAAATCCAAACTCTCAGAAACTACCGATTCCGCCGGCTACATCTTTCTTCATATTTTCTCCCACAAACAGGTGAAATTGTGACTACTAGTCAGTGGTGCATTAGATCTTGCTCAAGTGTGTCGCTTGCACCCTTTTTTAGCACCAACAACTAGTGTGTGGCACTTGTTTTTCGATTTGTTTGTTTGATCTTTTCGACAACTTCCAAAAAACTTAACCAATTTCCCCATCTAACCACCAAGTGTTGATTTTTGTAGATGCTGCTATTCTACCATCCACCTAACCATTCATCCACCTTAAAAACACCCACCATGATGATGATGATCAAGATGCAAAAGTTTTACCAACATATTCATACCCAAATCGTCAAAAAATGTCTTCTACCCACAATTTTTTTGTGATTTGCCTTCCTTTTCAACTTACACATACCATTAGAATAGCAGTGCAAAGATTGTCTAAAAATATTTGTCACGTTGTTTTGATTGACAAAAGTATGCGACAGGCTTTTAGTAGAATTTTAAAAACCTTGAATTGTTATATTAAATAAGGTTTTAAGACCCTTATATCACCAACTAATTGAGTTTGTTTGTTTGAAATTCTGTTTTATAAATTATCATGAATTATACATAATAATAAATATACGTCGGGTTTAAACGTTGGGGCATATTGTTTTTAAATTGTTGTTGAATTTTTTAATCTATGAAATAAGGTTCAAATTATTAAAAAAATACTTAATATGCCCTAATTTTGAAACACAGTGTACCGAGCTTCTATTTAATAAAATAAAGGCAACTTTTTTTAGGTTTCGAATTTTTTGTCATTGGCTATGTAATCACAGTGCATTTGGGAATATAATCCTCGTTTGCATTATGGTATCTTCAGCTTTACTAGCTGTGGAAGATCCGATTAATTCCGATTCCGAGACCAATAAGGCAAGTAGCAAATCTTATTGGCAAAGATATTGAAATAAAACGGCATTTTTTAGGTGTTGCAAATATTCGATTATGTTTTTACAGCCGTATTTTTTGTGGAATTAATGTTAAAAACAATAACTTACGGATGCATTTTGCATGATGGTGCCTTTTTTCGATCGGCTTTCAACGTTCTTGATCTAGCAGTCGTTTGCGTGTCAATCGTATCCATATTCAGCAGGTATTTTGTTTTAGGCGTAATAACACAGGTTTACAAATACATTTTGAAGACCAGAAGACAAGAGGTTTTGCCACATCAGGTCAGATTTTTGAAGTTTTGTATGTTGGATAAAGAACAGTTCCAACCGTTAACTGCATTTGGATTTAAACTGAGAAAATGGCGAAAAGCCTTTGGTATCAATGAACATTGACTCTCTCCGAAATCTTCAAATGTACTTACTTACTTACTTTGAAAAGAGATGGACGTCCCACCTGGATGTATTTTCATAAACCATGATACGAGCAATGAGCAAGGACAGCGGCTACAGACCCAGTTTCAATGTCTCAAATTGAAGGAAAATCCTGACCGGATAGGGAAACCTTTTGTCTGCTCTTGTCCAGATCGTGTAAACCTGTATAATCGATTGGGTTTGTTAATGTGATGTATGTTACAGCAAAGGAGCCATGTCCGTGGTGAAGATCCTGAGAGTGCTCCGTGTGTTACGTCCACTGAGGGCTATAAATCGTGCGAAAGGATTGAAGGTAAGTGGTTGAGAATTTTGGGTGTGCTTTTTGGATTGCATTTATAGCGGCCTATAGAATGGTGGCATTAATAGTGAAGGCTAAGTTTTGTACCTACCGAAACTGTACCGTTTGACCGTTTGACCGTCTGACCAATATACGTATCTATCTATCTCTAGCATGTAGTCCAGTGTGTGATAGTCGCGGTTAAGACCATCGGCAACATAGTCTTGGTTACATGTCTTCTACAGTTCATGTTCGCGGTAATTGGAGTCCAATTGTTCAAGGTAGGCACCAGCAGTCCGTTGTTGTTAAAAGCAAATGCACCTTTGGGTAGGCCAGTTCGCCGCCCTTCCCCAACCAACCAACCCTTTGAAACTAACCAAATTTGATTTAATGCGTGTGTTGTTTGTTTGATGGTATTATTTAGGCGCAGCTAAAAAAAACAAAACTGTTGCCAAATATTTGTTTGATTATTGATTGACCCATTAACATGCATGTTCAGCCTCCCAATCTGCAGGTTGTCGCCTCCACCGCCGCTCAGCTATTGCTGCCGTCGACCACAAGCCTTAATCCGTATTATTCGTAATGTAACTATGTTTATTCCAACCCAACCTGCCATTCCGTTGCTGTAGCGTCCGGCAAAAAGAGAAGATGATGCCTTGGTACTTAACCACTCGGCACTTGTAGTCATATCTAGAGCGTAAGGTGCATCGCTCATTCGTCAATGATCTGTACAATATCTGTCTGTGTGTCTGTCTGTCTATCTGTCTTTTTGCATACTTGTCTAACAACCAACGCAACCCAGGGTGCATTTGACGTCCCGGCTGGCTGCGCGATGCCCTCTATTATATAAAACCAAGCATACCTACTTAGATAGAGCTGCGATAACTGATAATTGACTTTTTTCATTTTTATTCTTTCATGCCGAATCTACTTATGGCTAGTATGTTGTGAAATGCGTGATTGTCGCCATTAAGACTATTGGCAATATCATGCTGGTCACATACCTTCTGCAGTTCATGTTCGCTGTTATAGGAGTGCAGTTATTCAAGGTAAACCCATAAGCTACAAGCTTCTAGCTGCTGATGACGGTAGAACTGCATGTTGTCAATGTAGCTGGATAGCGGCATGTGTTGTCGAACACACCATTCATTATTACTTATTTCAGTTGTTGTCTTCATAAGTAGCTACATACGCACCCATCTGTTATGTTCCGTTCTTCGTATTTTGTTCCGTTGTTCTAACATTTAGGTAATACTTTTAAACAAAAGAACATTCTGTCAAAACAGTACCCGGAAGTTTTCCAAAATTTATCAAAATAGACACCATTGGATGCAATACACGATTGAAACATTCATCAAAAACTTTTTCTTAAGAACCTTTCATCGAATTTTGTCCAAACGCCTTACTTCTGTAAGAGTTGATAAAAAAAAATGTTCATCAGTATTTTGACTCTTAATGTTTTTATCTAAGGACTACCGGAGCCTACAGCACCTATAGCAGAAAATAAAATTAAATAATCATTCGGGGAACTTTTTTGACAGAATGTATAGTGTACTGTAGGTTTTGTGAAGAGGTTTAATTGTTGCACTTTTGGCCGGCACTTCGCACCGCACAGTCTTCAGTAATTTTAGGCACAACAATGCCTAGTGCTTTTTAATTTATTATTATTATTAATACTATTACTATTATTTTAAAAAAGGTCTTATGCAATGCGCACTACTTTTAACTATACTTATGTTCATATATACCTAAATACGTAGATAAGTACCCACTATTTTACTAGTTATGACTACAAGTGCAATGTCTTACTTACATCTACTTTTATCTTTAATTCTTGATGTCTACTTGCATGATTACACCCCACTAATTATTTTGCATGATAAATAAAGGCTTGTACCTACCAAGCATTTGAACTGTCAAAACGACTGACGTCCATTTGACAGTCCAAATGCTTGTTGGAAACAATACCACTGTGTTTTTTTTCAAATTTAATTAAAGTATTAGATGTGCATGCAATTGACTGCAGTTTATTAAAAAGGCAATACATATGGTTACTTTAATAGTTTTGATTTCATTAGGGAAAGTTTTCTCATTGTACAGATGGTTCAAAATTGACTGCTGCTGAATGCAAGTAAGTCAAATTACATATCTGCTGTCCATAAGAACCATTAACTCCATTTCGATTAAAAACCTTTCGTATCAAAAATTAAAGAACCTAAAGTTTCTCTTAATTTGTCACTGGTTACTTTGCTAATGGTAATTTTAACTAAAATAACGTTCAACAGTTTGTGCTACTTGAAAATGTAGTTAACGGTTCTTGATGCCTTTTGACGGCAAATCTATGTAGTTATGTATGTTGATGATGATATTTTTAGTGGTACCTATTTGGTTTATTTGGATGGTAATATAAATAAGCCAGTGATGAAAGATAGAAGTTGGGAGCCAAACCGATTTCATTTTGACAATGTTGCAAAAGCAATGTTAACTCTATTTACGGTGTCCACTTTTGAAGGATGGCCAGGACTGCTGTATGTTTCAATAGACTCAAATGAAGAAAACAGAGGACCAATTCATAATTTCCGCCCCATTGTAGCTGCATATTATATTATATACATTATTATAATAGCCTTTTTTATGGTTAATATTTTCGTGGGTTTCGTTATTGTTACATTCCAAAACGAAGGAGAACAAGAATATAAAAATTGCGAATTGGACAAAAACCAAAGAAATTGTATTGAATTTGCATTGAAAGCCAAACCGGTACGAAGATACATTCCCAAACATCGAATTCAATACAAGGTATGGTGGTTTGTCACTTCCAAACCATTTGAGTATGCGATTTTTACACTCATCTTAACTAACACCATTACATTGGCTATGAAATACTATCAGCAACCAGCAATATATGAAAGTTTTTTGGACACACTTAACATGATATTCACTGCCGTATTCGCCATGGAATTTGTTTTCAAGCTGGCGGCTTTTAGAGTTAAGGTAAGTCAAATATTTTACTTCAAAATCCATATACCTACAAGTAGGTATAGCCTTGCCGGAAACAGCCTCTTCACTTTTTTGTAGGCGCGGCACGTGACCAATGACCATCATCACCATCATGGTCAAAACCATGATGGTGGTGGTGGTGATGGTCTGCGATCACCAGTACCATCATGGTTTTGACCATGATGCTGATAATGGTCGAAACCATGGTGGTGGGGGTGATCGCAGCCCACATTGGTCACGTAAATAGAACACAAAAAAGTGGAGGGCTGATTTCACCTATTCCTACATAATCTACTTTTAGAATTATTTTGGAGATGCGTGGAACGTATTTGATTTCGTTATAGTGCTTGGAAGTTTCATTGATATTGTGTACCAAGATGTTAATGTAAGTATACACAATTAAAAAACCAACAATTATTATTTAGGTTTGTGTTTATTTTATTTTAGCCCGGTTCAAAATTTCAAATATCAAGTAATTTTTTTCGCCTTTTCCGTGTAATGAGGCTTATAAAGTTACTTAGCAGAGGCGAAGGCATCAGGACTTTGCTATGGACGTTTTTGAAATCTTTTCAGGCTCTCCCGTATGTAGCATTACTTATTGTGATGCTATTTTTTATTTACGCCGTCATAGGAATGCAGGTATGAATATTCAAAAGGCATTGTTAAAGGAGTGAAGCAAAAATGCTTTATTTTAGATGTTTGGTAAAATTGAAAGCACAGATCCGGAATCTGACTCGTCGATCACCAGGAATAATAACTTTGGATCGTTTTTTCAAGCAGTGTTGGTGCTATTTAGATCAGCTACTGGTGAAGCTTGGCAAGAGATAATGATGGATTGTGCTGACACACCGGCTGCAAAATGTGACAAAAGAATTAAAGATAGCTCTGGCTGCGGTTCCAATATTGCTTATCCATACTTTATTTCATTCTACGTATTATGCTCATTTTTGGTAATCCTACAAAAAATACATTTTTTTCTATCTAAATTTTTGTCTAATTTCAGATTATTAATTTATTTGTGGCAGTCATTATGGATAATTTCGATTATTTGACGAGAGACTGGTCTATTCTGGGCCCCCATCATTTGGATGAATTTATTAGACTGTGGAGTGAATATGATCCTGACGCCAAAGGCAGGATAAAACATTTGGATGTTGTTACTCTTCTTCGGAAAATATCGCCCCCATTGGGTTTCGGCAAATTGTGTCCGCACAGGGTGGCTTGCAAGCGATTAGTGTCGATGAACATGCCCCTTAATAGCGACGGAACAGTTCTATTTAACGCGACACTTTTTGCCGTCGTGCGAACTTCGTTGCGAATCAAGACCGAAGGTAACATAGACGATGCGAACTCGGAGTTGAGAGCAGTAATCAAAAAAATTTGGAAAAGAACCAGTCCCAAACTGTTGGACCAAGTGGTTCCACCCCCGGGTGTGGACGACGAAGTTACCGTTGGCAAGTTCTACGCCACTTTTCTTATACAAGATTATTTCCGGAGATTTAAGAAACGAAAAGAACAGGAACTCAAGGAGGGAGATAAGGACACACACAACACCGTCACCCTTCAAGCTGGTTTGCGTACATTACACGAGGCTGGGCCTGAACTAAAAAGAGCTATATCCGGGAACCTCGACGAATTGATTGACGATAACCCTGAACCAATGCACCGGGTATGTTATGCCTACAAAATGTACCTAACCAACTTTCTATTGTTGAAATCAAACCTACCTTTTCGAAGGTTTTTTATGCACTAAATTTTAATCAGACCTCAGAACCCGTTTAATAAAACTCTTTCTCTTTAAAATCCTTTTAAAATGTTCCCAATATTTTTTTTCTTTTCGAGAAATCTTTAGTTGTCAGTCACGTTCGAACTCTTGACAAAGACGGACAAACCAATACTTACCTAAACCACTACGGCCAAAATTGCTTTTGGGTAGGAGTGGGTACAACACTAGCCGCCGGCCCCCCCTTCCCCACCTCCTTTTGTTCCTACTGGGCGTATAGCAACGGCCCGGCAAACCCGAAAGGGGCTATTCAAACTAATCGCATGTCGTTCTCGAGCCTCAAATATGGTACAGTACCGAACGCGGTGTACATTCGCACCCAGCAAACACGGGTGAAGCCGTGCAGTTGCTGGTGGCGAAAGAAAATCGGCGTAGAGTAACGGAGACTTGTGCGAGGCTCGAGAGAGATAAGGCAATGGGGCCAGTTACGACTCTTTAGTTGGGTTGGGTCTCGAAGAGGAGAAAAATTAAAAAAGGATTTTAAAGGGGAAGAGTACTTTTAGATAGAGCTGATCTGGGATCGAATTAGGATTCAGCATGTCAAAAACCTTTTGGTCTGGTTTCTGTTTGAAAACTTTGTAGACCTAATTATTTATTACTTGTTACAGAGAAACCATTCACTTTTTGGAAGCGTGTGGTCTTCGATGAAACGTGGACATAGCTTTAATAGAACAAAGTCGTTAAAAATCAATTCAACCCATATTAAAATAACACCAGCTTCTAGCGTAGACTATATTCCGTATAATTCCATCAAAAGTGCTGTAACAGAGGGAATGAACCATATTACTTCGATTACAAAAAACGTTCAAAATAGGCAAAGTGCCACGTCGCTGCACAACCAGGAAGGGTTAAGAGAAGAGGACATTCCCCTAAGATCTCTGAGTTTGCATAATGGTGATTCGGAAAAAAATAGGTTTAGAGTTATTAAGTAAGTTTTTCATTTTTCGTTTTTCCTTATTTACGCGTATTAATTAGTTTCATAAAAATTAAAGTTAAAGTGCCGATTAAAACAAAACAAAATTTAGAAATATTATTTTAATTTTTCAGTAAATCTGGTTTCCTGCACCCTAACTATCAGGGTAAGCGTATAAGGGTGTGAAAGTTTAGTTTACTGGTTTGATTTAACGTTTTGTTTTGGTTTTTTTAATGCTAACAAGTTATGAGTACCTAATTAGGGTGTACCGATATGACAGGAAATGATAAAGATAGCAAGAAGCAGTCAAATAACGAAATGACCTTGACAATATATAGCCTATAAGTAAGCGTGTCGATACGCCCTAATAACGTTGTTTGTGCTAGTCTACAGGGTGAGCTGGGCGAGCTGATGGCTCCGACGCCTCCACCACGACGGCTGACACTGGGTTTGGGCAGTCGAGGAGTTAGTTGCATGTCGACTCAGCCGGGCCTCGCCACTGCCACCGCCATGGCCATGGCCAGCGCCACCTCAGCGCCGGCTGCGGCCACGCCCACGCAACACGCACCACCGCCGAGCTTTAGTCGTATTGCAAGTGGCCTAAAACTTGCACAAGCACAAGCTATGGCAGTTGCAGGCTTCTTGCCCTCAGATTCGGCAGACTCAGCCTCTCAGCCGCCCCCTCCGTTCTTTTTCGACTACCCCTCTTCGGGCTCTTCGGAATTGTTCGCCTTCCATCCAACCGATTCCGAAGGAGATAGTCGACACACGCGCTCAAATCTCCTTAATCATAGGGCTTCCTTCCATGGCAGAGGTTAGCCTACAATCCACCTTTCTCACCATCTTTCCATCCATCATTTGCATGATACTTATTTATATCCCAATCTTAATTTTATACCATCAAGCTTTTCCACTCTTCAATTCAATAACATCGATTCTTTATACCAATTCATCATTTTATTTGCATGATATTTATTCTTTATTCTATATCAATCTAATCATTATCATCATCATGCTAGAGGTACTTAATCAAAGGCTGACATAAAAAATGACTTTTTTATGTACGCTCATAGTTTTGGTTTGTTGTTATTTTTCTAGTTTGAGTAAACTCTAGCAGCATTGAGTAACTACTTCACTCAGGGCCGGTTTATCAATGTCCAGTTATCTGGCAAAATTTAACTGGAACTCGACTAAAGATTGATAAACCGGCCCTCGCCAAGCTATAATTCGAACGCTGTATGTTTGGTACCGCAACGTAATCAGCCATGCGTTGTTGAACAATGACGTTGCGGTATCAAACTTGGAGCCTTCTAACTCTAGATAAGTTGAAAGGATGAGCTAAAGAAGACCATGGTTTGTCAGATAGTTCTTAATTTTTCACCAAAACCTTTTTTTGCGTCCAAAGTCAACCAACATTTTTAAAGAAAATGAGTTTTTGATATCATTAGAGCCGTGAAGAAATTCTGCATGAAATTCATGGTCTTGGCAAATGTTTCGTCAATCTTACATCTGAAGTCTAGAGTAAAATATCTCGTATGAAGTATTGAATTAGAAGGCAACTGATTATGAAAGGTGTCTACTAGTAAAAAGGTTTTGAGGAATAATTAATTTCTTGCTGATGATCAAATTGCAGTTTTTGAAGGTCAAAACTTTCCTGCTCATGGCTGGTATGTTTGTTAATGAATAAATACAAATTCGCAGGTGGAATCGAGGCGAACGGACATGCGGGTTCGGAGAGACTGGCGCAGTCGCTGCCAGGTTCCCCGGCAGACCGGCGGCCGCCGTCGTTCGAGGTTGTGGGATCGGCCGAAAGTCTGGTCGGTCGAATTTTGGCGGAGCAAGGACTCGGCAAGTACTGTGATCCCGAATTCGTGCGGTATACTTCCAAGGAGATGCAAGAAGCCATGGACATGACGCAGGAGGAGATGGACCGGGCTGCCCATCAGCTGCTGCAGCAAGAGAGGCGCATCAGACCCAACGCCCCGCCCACTGCCCATGCGACCCTCGATGTCCTACAACCACCATTATAGCACACTCTCAAAGTTTCCTAATCTCCCGCCACATTACCAAGTGCCTAATCTTTTCTTCTGGTCCAAAGAAGACTTAATTTAATAATAATTATATTATTATTTTTTATTTGTTTACATTATTACAAAAAAACAATAATAGTATTGTGTAGTTTTTTAACCTGGATTTTACCATGAAATAGGATTGTTTCTCCAGTTACGAGTCCCATGTACAGGGTGTGAGAATGAATAGCAAAATCTTATTAAAATTTTATAATATCAGAACGTGTCAAACTATTATAATAAAGAATAAATAAAATACATTTATCTACTCCTATCGTATAATATTCGATTTTTTCCATATTTAATAACCGCCGCGAACCCATTATTTACGTTGGTAGGCATTAGTGATTGGCCGAATTTAATATTCACTGTGATTTGAACCAATCAGGTTTTAAATTTGGAGAAGGCGGCCATAATATTTAAAATTGGTAGAAAGTGAGGTTAACCATTTGAAAGATGTCAGATTTTATTTATTTATTTTTGAAAATCATTTAAATATCTACTAAATGGAGTAGATAAAGTAAGTATAGTATTACACTCGAGATTATGCGCATTATTCACTAGGATCATCATCATCCTTGTGAATAATAGCCTGCATTATCTCTCGTATATTAATATACTATTATTTGTATACTTTTTAAACTTCTATTACGGTTTTTAAGAGCACCCATCTTTACTCTCAACTACTATTTGTATTCTACCTTAATTTTATTATTTGATTTACTTATAAAGATTTATAATACTATATATATACTTAAGCACAAACTTTAAAATATATGTATATATTATAGTACTCTTAAACCAATTAAATCCGTTTCTTTTAATATATCGATAAAACGTAATATTTAATAGTTTATAAATAAAAATTTTCTATGTTTTTAGTTCATTAATTTACAAAACCTAAATTTTAATATTATTCCCATTTCCCCATAGGTGCTTCTAAAATACACTCCATATAATTGACTATATTAAAGAACGAGTTTAGAAAACGAGTGTTGTAATGGACCAGTGCAAGAAAACGTCTAGTTCCTTATAGGTACCCTGATAGCAAACTTTGATTTTAAGAATCTTCTAAGAAGATATGACCCCGAATAATGGAATATTCTTAGAACCTTCTCTTATTGCTTAGAATGTTCTTAGGGACTTTTAAAACATTTAATAGATACCCTTTTAATGATGCAATTAGATTCTTAAAAGCTTCTTAAAACCTTCCTAAAAAGCATCCCAAGAACATTTTAAGAATACGTTTTTGGAATGTTCTTAGAAGGTTTCTTATGGAGCTTCTAGGAAGCTTTTGAGAATATTCCCGAATATGTCAGATACCTACGTTCTAATATGTTGTATTCTACATTCGTAAAATTCTTCAGGAGACGACAAATACGCCTCACTGTCATAATATGACAGTGAAATGTATTTGTCGTCCCCTTAAAAAATTTTGCGACATATTAATATATATTTATTTAAAAATATTAAATAAACAATTTGACCTCTAAACCATAAGTTGTATGACATTATTCCATAAAAGGAAAATTTTGTGGGATAAGTCAGATTAGATTGAAGTTGAAGATAGTTAGGATTATTATACATAAAAACGTTAATTCAGAAATAAAAATCGGTATACAAATTAATAAATATTTATTTTTAACATAAAATAAAATACCTACAGTAAAAGTATTTTTGTTATCGAATATTGTTTTAATTTGACAAATAACTTTAAAAAAATATTTTGGATTGTGGGTCATTCCACGTTACTCGGGGATTTTTGTCCCGCCCGTCACAATTAAAAATTGTGAGTAAAAACTATACATTATAAAATTTATTTTAAAATAATGTTTTATTATGCTTTTAATAAGTTATAAGCACAATAAAAATAATATTATAAAATATTAATTTTATAACTTGTGGTTTTTACTCGCAATTTTTAATTGTGACGGGCGGGACAAAAATTACCGAGTAACGTGGAATGCCCCTTGTGTTTTTTACTTAGTATTTAATACCAATTACTAATTAGGTACTTAAGTATAGGTAGGTATATACCTTTATACGTAGTTTATGGTATATTTTACTATTATATAGGTAACTGAACTAAATATGCTTAACAGGAATATTCCTAAATGAACTTTCTATAGTAATTACTTTCTTAAGAATGTTAATTAACATTCTAAGCATATGTTTAGAGCTCTAAAAAAATTAGTCCACTAGTAGACTAATTTTAAACTTTGCACCTTCTAAGAACCTGCCTATAGGTCAGTAAGAATATTCTTCATTCATGCTATATATGTCTTTTAAGCATGTTCTTTAGAAGAAATATAGCATGATCCTAAGAATATTCTCACTGGAAGGTTTAAAAAACATTCTTAGAATAAAGTGTGCTATCAGGGTACTTTCTGTTTTCTATGGGTAGGTACTATTTTTTTCTATTTACCAAAATGTTGAGATAATTGTCGAATTAAAATTTATATTGCGATTTAGGGGTTTATTTCCCAAACATCAACTTAACTTCAGTTTTCAACGCAATTATTCTGTGATATTTTTATTGCAGAATTATAAGGATATAAAATCTAATCTATGACTTACCTGCAGCGTTGTTTAAGTTCATAATAATTGCACAATTAATGAAATGATAAAAAATATTCTTTATTATGCTAAGTGACGTTTCAATAATGACATACCGTATTGCCAAATTTGTAAAAAAACATTCACAGAGCACATGTGTATATCCTCTGTAATATGTGTGTGTATCGTAATATATGAAAAGCAAATGCGTGTGATTTTTAATATATACAGGTAAAATTACGGTAAAAATGAACCAAAACTTTTGTGGAACGTTAAAATTTCTTCATTTAATGTAAAACTTTTCTTTGTAAAAAATAACGTTTTTATAGTTCTCTAAATAATAGGAGAAAAACTGGTGTTTAAATTTGAAATTTGTGTGCATATGCAACTATCATTACATAACTGTATTTTGATTGCCTGCCTAACTTTTAATATTTAGACAAAATGTTAAGCTCTGTTTGCAAATTGTTAATATACAGCAATATTCATAGTTTGTTTTTTAATAAATATAAATGTTTGCAAAAGAAAAATAATTAAAAAACATATCAACAAGTATTTTAGTTTTCTTGTGTTGGCACGTTAGTAATAAAATGGCTGCGGTTGGTCGTTTTCAAAATGTTTTGATCAATTAAAAACCATTATTTTAATTTGTTTTTTATAATTTAATTAACAGTCTTTGTGCATAGCTTAATAATTTCGTAAGTATATTGGTGTAGTAAAGCTGGGCTGAATATGTGAGTTGAGTTTTCCTTATTTTCCAGGAAAAATGAGTGGAGAAAATGTAAATGTTTATATGTCGGATAATATCCCGGCGTTGGATGTAATAGCCTTGGATCCTGTCAAGAATTTGAAACCGAAAGGCGACAAGTATGTATTAATGATAAATTTATAACCAGAATGTTTCACAAAATTGTTGCAGGTTGATCGGCCTAGCCAAAAAGCTCCTAAATGAGTTCAACGAGTCCCAAAACGACCAAGAAAAAGCTTACATTGTAGGCAAACGATACTTGTTTATGCTGAACCAGATGTTCAAAACTTCTGATGACAAGAAGTACATGGAGATAAGATACAGGACTGAATATAATAAGGTAGAAACCAAAGTAGCTGAACTTAAGGACACTTTAAAAAAGTACTACGATGATATGTCTAAATTAAGGGAACAAGCAATACAGAACTTGAAGGTTATGGATCACAAGGAGCCAAAACAAACTCCAAAACTAAAAGGTAAGTTTGATTTTGATTCAACATTAAATTAAGATAATTTTTAATGTTAGTTGTAGGAAATTACATTACATGCAAAGACCTGTATGAAGCAATTGAAGGCAAAACCACTAAAATGCTTTTGATTGATATAAGACCTGAACTTGAATACAACAACTCTAGCATTTATTGCAATTGCTCCATAAACATTCCTGATCATGTTATATCTGCAGGGTAAGTACTTTTAATAACTATATTTAAACTATTTCTAACTTATCCTAACCACTTTCTAAATTTTATTAAGGTTGGTAAGGCACCTAAAAGCATACTATAAAAAACAAATGGTAGTCTCATGGTTTAAGGTTTGGACTTTTAAAACTTACCAATCAAGCTCTCTTAACCCTTAAGTAGTTGCTCCAACTTTTTTTACTTAAGTAGTCTCGGGGAACAAATGCAAGACAAATAAATAAATAATTTCCTAAAAACAAATTAAAAGTACATAAACCGAATAAACTACTATTCTAATATTCATCAATTATCATTGAATTACACCAGTGCTTTTTTTGCACTTTTTTTTGAATTATTATATGGAAAAATTGCAGGGCTCCTAAAATTTGGCTTAAATCTTAAAATTATCAATCTCCTAAAACTCCTAAAAATTAAATATAAGTAGTCCAACTGGACTACATTTAATTAAGGTAGTTGTCATGCTAAAAAATTCTTTTTTAAAAAATAAATATTTTGTGGGTTCTAGTTTTTTAGACAAAAATATACCGTGTTATCAAACAAAAGGATTTTTAATTTTCTTTTAAATGATGGCTAATATAGTAAAAATAATAATAATAAATAATGTTTTTCTGTATTATGCAAACTTTATATTTTTTCTATTATGAGATTTTTGAGTAATAAGATCCACATTACAATTATTGTTAATTATTACCTAAATGGTTAACATTTTTTTTCTCAAAATATAAATATAACATCATTTGGCTTTGGCCTTATTTTTTAGCCATATCTATCGACGCGTTTTTTTTTTAAATAAAAATAACAGTGTGGTGAAAGTTCTACTTGTGTATTAAAACGAATAGATACACTTAAATAAAGTGCCAAACCCCGCCCACTGTGGTAGGGATTGAATTTGTTTGCTTGCCGTTTATTTAAACATTTAATTTAGAAAAAAAGTTATTTTCGTTATTTTAGAATTATTTTTGTTTGAGAATTTATAGGTTTTATTTTTATCGAATTCGTTTGTTTTGTTTCAATGCATTTCTGCAAATAAAAACTAAGTATTGTTTAAAATCCATTAAATTCCAGTTAATGGCGAAAATGTATTTCTTAAAAACTATACACATTTCCCTACGACAGCGTCGGAGCTACTGAACAAACAGTAGATCAAACTGCATGCCCTTGTATCTGGCTGCATGCCGCGCTGTTGCCATATGCTATTATTGTTTCCTAAAAGGGTTGTTTTTCTTATTTTTTAATATTAAAAGTAAGAAAATTAACTAAATCAAATTATTTTTGACATATTATTATTTTTTTTGTTATTTTTAAAGTTTCAAACAAATAAAATTGAACTATTTATTAAATAATTATAATCGTTCTCTTCTGATTTAAAGCAACCTGGCAACTATGGTTCGTAATTACGAATGGCTTGGTTTAAACCACGCCCAATTAAAGTTTTTTTTTTCTCTGATTAGAATATAATTTGTTATCCTTGTCTCCAGCCTTACTTACTTGATTCTATACAAAAGTAGTAATTTTTACTTTCGAGCGATTTGGCTAAAACACCAGTCAATGTAACCTATTTGTACAAAATAAGTGATATTTATTTGTATTTTTCTTAAAAAGAATTTTTTTTTAGTACAGTGTACAGTTGTTTTTATTTAATTACATAAATTCATTTGCATACTTTATTTCTCCTAAAATTCTCCCAAAAATTTAGTCGTGGGAGCCCTAGAATTACTTGCTGGACACCTCAAAAAAGGCCTATCTATGTATGATGTCCAATACCTATATATTTTAATAGGAAATTAAATGCTCTATAAGAAAGGTTTTTTCGTCAAAGTCAAAGTTTGAAAAGTTTTGAAAAGAATATTTTTTTTAAAACAATTAATTTACATTTGTTTTTTGATAAAAATGCACTCAAGTACCTATTACCAGAGATGTGCATATCAATATATCCGCGAGAACTGTTTACTTCTGTGTTGACATATTACAGCAATAATCACGTTAAGAAAAAAATCTTTTAGTTTATCTGCCAACACTCTGGGAGAAAAATTGTCCCCGGAAGTAAAAGAGATTTGGGATAAAAGGGATACTTACGATATCCTTATATTGATGGACAGAAATTCCAGCTCTGGAACAATTTGTTCCTCAAAATTGGAGATGTTGAAGTCCTGCATGGTCGAGGTTTGATTTCAACCATAATAATTGTGCATTTTCGCTTATTATTTCCATGTTTCCAGTGGGATTTCAATCGTCATTACAAGCGACCTCCTGTATACTTGAGTGGGGGTTTTAGGGAGTTTTTGGAGACATATCCGACATCGGTAACCAATGCGCACGCCCTTCTATCCCACAAAAACGACGAGCTGGACGAGTTGCTCGAAATTGACACGGTCATCTACCCGAATTACAGCGAAGGTAGCCCTCAGGAGCCCCCGAAAAGAAGCCCAGATGAATCTTGTGCGATGAAGCAACTCATCGAGGACACTCTGATTGATATGATCTATGAAGATGGGGATAAAGAGGAGTCGGAGGATTCCTACAGCGAATCTGTCGAGGAGCCGAAACCCAAACCTCCATCGCCACCTCCACCTGCGGAAAGCAATGAGGATCAAATTAAAAACGCCATGGAGGAGGAACGGTTGAAGATGTTGGAAGAGGCGCGTTCCAAAAAGCCTAGGGTTGGGAATAATACGAATAGTAGCGTTAAAGTCGAGCCTATGCCGGTGTACCCGCCCACAGCGCCTACAGTCAATAGAAAAAGCAAGCCCAAAACTGTCGAGAAGGTAACAGGGCGCACTGGCTTGAGAAACATAAGAAATACGTGCTACCTCAACACCGTGCTGCAGTGTTTCCGCTTGATCCCGGTCATAAAAACCTTATTCACCGCCAAGAGATACTACAAGTACGTCACATGCGATCCGCCGTCGTTGATATTCGAACTTGGTTTAGTTGTCGAGCAGCTTTGGAGCAACGACGGCGGCTATTTGGTGCCCAACGAGTTCTACAACAAGTTGTGCTACTTGGAGCCGAACTTCGCCCAAGGCAACCACGAGGACTGCATGGAGTTCTTCCTGGTGCTATTCAACGCGATCCATAACGATTGCACGGTTCCCATGGAGCGACCCGACGTCCTCACGCCGAAATTAGAGGCGAAAATGTGCCAGCTGTCCGGCAAAACGTCCGTGTTCGTGGACTTGTTCTACCACCAAGTGAGGGACTATCGCTACTGCACCAACTGCAAATCCACTTCGTTCAACTTCGAGGTCGACAGCACCCTCATGCTACCCATACCGAACTCCAAATCGCATCTCGGCAACCTCGTCACCGACTACTTCAAAGACTATTTGATCAGCGACTTTTGCTGCTCGAAGTGCAAGAAGGGCGTGAGGAACGCGCGCGACCTCGTCGACACCCCGCGCATCCTCGTCTGCGTTCTCAAGCGCTACGTCCAAAATTCCAACGGGATCCTCATGAAAAACGATTCGGAAGTTTACTTCGACGAAGTCATCAAGCTTAAAAGCGCCATTTACAGGCTCTATTCCTTTGCCATGCATCAGGGCACCTTGAAGGCCGGACACTACACCGCCGGAGGATACATCAATAAGACGTAAGTGTCACCTAATAAATTGGCATTCTTTGGGGGGGGGTGATGGACTATCACCTCTATCCTTTTTGCATTAGAGAGTTTTTCAATAAAAAAAAATCATTTGTAGAAGTGAAACTGTTTGTGTAATAGAGAGAGAGAGAGAGAAAGACAGGGATAATTTCAAAAGAAATATAACAGTATAAAATTTGTGTAAAAAATATTTCTTGATTAATTTCATCTGAAATAAATGTATATCCTTGGCATAAAAACAGAAGCGGTTTTGCTTTCGGCACGCGCCTAAAGAGCGGCACGCTTTTGTCTTTTGTCGGCTTTACACCGCGTTATTACAAATAAGCCGCATTATTATAAAATAATAAAAACAGTAGAATATTCGCTACTCTACCGTATAATTGTTTATTTGATTTATTATTGGTAGAAATAAACCATTTGGTAACAATTTTTTTAAGTAATTTTATATGATTTTCTTGTGTGGTTTTGCTGACTAAACGCGAAAATCACACTTAAAATTTTTTTCATGGAAGCGTTTTCGAGATATAAATTTTCAATTTTTTGAGGTGTTTTGACGTTTTAGAGTATACTTCGAGTTCTAATTGATCGATTTGACCAAACAAGCACTTAAATCAAAGGTAATCAAGCCCTCTACAACTATCTCTTGTATAGTTTTGGTATCGGCCCAGTAGTTCGATGCTAGCGATTTTATTAAGTTGAAACAGTCCTTTTTTACAAAAATCGAGGTCGACAATTTACATATCTTTCTGGGAAAGATAGAAATCGAAAAGATCCCTTGTGGAAATTTTTCTCTGAGAAAGTCTTACTTTCTCTGAAAAAGTCTGAATAATACTTATTAAGTCGGAAAAAGTCAGAATAAGACTTATTAAGTCGGAAAAAGTCTGAATAAGTCTTATTAAGTCAGACTAATAGCAAGATTTGGGAGTCTTCTGGAAGAGTTAATAAGACTTTTTAAGACTTAATAAGACTTTTAGTAGAGAAATGGTAGGTACCTATGGCGATAAAAATAAATATCCGAAATAATTCATAGAGGTTGTATTTGGTTATCGTAAAATAAAACACATAGACAAGTATTTATTAACATTTTTGCTGTTGTTATAAGCCAAGTTTATTGCATAATTACCTATATACTGACATAGGTAAGATGTAATAATTATAACAATTATAATTTTATACATACGATGCGCTTAACATGCTTTCATTGTTTCCAACATAGAAAAAGGAGTTAATATCAAGTCTATAGACATGATATTTTCGATAGACTCGTAAGACAAATATGCACAGAACATAACAAATATGGTTGATCTTCGTGTTTCATTCATCTTTGTATCATGGTTGATCTTCGTGTTTTCGTACAGTGTTGCCATAAAAGTTCCTGACCATAAATTACAAAATACTAAAATATTAATAAAAATGTAACAAGATAGAATAAAATAATTGTGCATACTTATTTAGTAAATATACAATATTATTTACTGAAAATTTCTTTTGTTATTATTTTGATAGAAATTTGCAAATCACCCGCAAATATTATGAAAATACCCGATTTTCGAGTAAAATACTTGCAAACGGCAACACTGTGTCCCACTGACAGGTCAGCTGTGCTCTAATTGGTCAGCTAGCTAAGCTGGTCTCTCGATATTACGTCTTACGTCTATTGTTTGTAACAATGTTTAAATAGGTAAATATTTGCGTGTATCAAAAGAAACTATTAAAATAAAACGTACAGTGGCAACTCCTTTTTCTATGGTGTAAGCATGCATGTCAAGCGCATCGTATGTATAAAATTATAATTGTTATACCTAATTATTACATCTTACCTATGTTATTATATAGGTAATTATGCAATAAACTTGGCTTATAACAACAGCAAAAATGTTAATAAATACTTTTCTATGTGTTTTATTTTACGATAACCAAATACAACCTCTATGAATTATTTCGGATATTTATTTTTATCTCCGTAGGTACCTACCATTTCTCTACTAAAAGTCTTATTAAGTCTTAAAAAGTCTTATTAACACTTCCAGAAGACTCCCAAATCTTGCTATTAGTCTGACTTAATAAGACTTATTCAGACTTTTTCCGACTTAATAAGTCTTATTCTGACTTTTTCCGACTTAATAAGTATTATTCAGACTTTTTCAGAGAAAGTAAGACTTTCTCAGAGAAAAATTTCCACAAGGGATGAGTCCAGTTTGATTTGTTTTACGTGTAGATAATACTTAAAGGAAAAAAATAAGCTGCTGTTGATAAATGGCAAAGTTGCTTTCGTATTCCGTTTCTCGTGTGAGAATGGCTGCATTCATTTGCTGGTGAAAACGTTCTCCGTGCACATCACTTACGTCGCCCAGATTGTCCGGGTTATTTACGCACTTGAACTCTCTACATCTTTCACTCATTTTACACTTTTTATTAACTAAATAAACAATGATAAAAATACCTTGTTGATATGTCAAAAAATAACAGTAAAATGTCACTATGCCAACACGAGAAACAAAAGAATTCACGTTTGCTGAGTCATGTCAAATTTAAATTTTGAATAATGTTTTCGGTTAAAAAACTCTGATTTGGTTACACCCTATTTAATTACTCTAAGGCACAAAACCCCGGTAATATTTTTTTCTTTAGGTGGTACGAATTCAACGATGAATACGTGAGACGTTTGGACATCCAAACTGAGGACGTAAGACAACGTGTTTGCGCGTTGTTTTACAATCAAGAAAACTAAAACTCATTGTGATAAAAAAAAACATGCAAAAAATGCTTTAATATTTTGTTATTATATTTGTTAGTCATATATTTTTATATAACTATTTATTTTTTCTAAAGTAGTCCAAACTATTTTAATACCGCATAAGCATTTAAATGTTTGTCTCATCATTCCTTTTTCAGTATTTTACTATTGCAGTTTGAAACTGCAGAGATTTTGTTGGTGCCTTAATTGATACTGATCTTTGACGACAAATTATTTTTAGGCTAGGTTAATCAACGGTATAGTCAATTTATGTCGTTTTTATTTTTGTTTTTGTTCTATTCTTATTTTTACGTAATTGTTTCGTTTTAATAAACCTTTAAGCGTATATATTTATTTCAATTCTACTTACCTTCCAATTTCAGGGAATTTTGTGTTTTTTTTTTACTTTATTTTATTAATCCAATTACGAATACAAAAAAAAACAAATTTAATTAAGTAGTAAAATTTTTTGTAGGAAATAGGTTTATAGCTAGTGACATGTTTGTTATCTTTTTGGAACTCAATAATTGTTAAATTGTTGCTTGGGAGGTAGGTATGTATAAATGAAATATTGATATAGGTGTATAATTTATTTGATGACATTCTCTACACTGTTTTTGGCAAATAATTATGAACAAATGATTCCTATGAAAATTATTTACAAATAAAATTACCCATAACCATTTTTACATTTTTCTAAAACTATTTAAAAGGGAGTTTTAATTTTTCGAACCAAAATAAAATAAGGACACTTTAAAAATATAACAACACTATACATTAACAGGGGAATAGTATTTATATTTACAAATAAATTTAACAATAATTCTACAAAATTGCAAAATCGTGCTAACACTTATCCAATAGGCCAAAGTAAATACCCTAATTGTTTTTATTATTGAACAATGTCCAAAATATAATAAAAATACTATTGTCATATATATTATAAATTGTATGTGTATATATAGGTGTCGCACTATGCAATGCACATGATTCGTTGACGGTAAAGTGAAGAGTTTGTTTCTACAAAAGTAGGAAAGGACTTTATATTGACTGATATTACTGTGTGTGTAGAGCATAGTGTGACATAGTTAGGCCTAAATTGAATGCTACCCCAAACCAGACATCAGACTAAAGACGACGAATATAGATATATCACATGAGCCACATCATCTGGAAAAGTGTAGTTCTGACGGGGGTTACGCAATACTGAGCTATATTATTAAAGGCTAGGTGTAAAACACCTGAAGCGGCTTCCCTTAACCTTCCGCGTTTATTGTGATCGTCTTGCCCTTGGCATCGTCGAAACGGTCCATGGTCTTGATGTCCATCATCATGGTCAAACCGAGGGTCATGATGAACAACAAGATGAAAGTGACGAACAACCCGGACCAAATTGGGGCCGATGTGAATCCCACGCAGTCGTACGCATCGCCGAATCTAAATGTATCCTTATCGGTGCTGTTTCCGGTCATGTTCATGAACAATTGGATTTGGAAATCGAGAATGCTCATCGACACACCTTTAGTTCTGAACGTTTGGTTGGCGCAATGGTAGGAAAATCCAACCGGAGCGTGTATATATGATATTCCATTGACCACTTCATCCTTAGAAGTTTTAACATTTCTCAATGTAGCTTTAACCAACTCCATGTATCCCATAGGCGTGATTTCAAAGATTAACCTATAAAGAATTGATCTTGAAGAAGAAGAATTGACTAACAGTTTTGTGTTGTTGGCTGGAGAGATAGGTCGCTTGATGAAAGAGTATAGAAACATAAATCCTTGAGAGAACAATATAAAACTCACGTATGATTTCCATGAAGGATGGTTGGAATGAACTACAAGATTAAGGTTGAACAATAAAAATGTTTACATGAAAAACAAACTGGTACAAAATATTTGATGGTTAAGAAAAATTATATGAATGATTGTAAAAGTGGAAGAATAATGTTGTGTATGATGATAAGTAATTTTGGAAAATAATATATGTATTGAAAATAAATGAAGAAAGGAAATAGACATATAAATAAATAAAGAAGAATATATCAAAAAATTGTGGTGCAGTAAAAATGTTGAAAAAAATTAGACACAAAATAATATTAAAATGAACTATGAACAATAATATTATAAAATGAATGATTCAAGGGAAGTTCTACTCAGAGCTGGTAGTATCTTGAAAAAAAATATACTTAAAGTATCTAAGATACTTTATCTTAGATACTTTTTATATTGGACAGAAAGTATCTTTAACATAGTTACTTTGGAAAAGTATCTTGTAACTTGTATCTTAAAAAGTATCTAAGTTACTCAGTAAAGTAACTAAGATACATTCAACTTAGATACTTTTTAAAGTAACTTAGATAATTTCTTAGAGAAAATTGGTTGAATTCCAGAATGATTCAAAGTAATTACCAGTGTTGTAACAGTATTTTCAGTATCTAGCTACAGTTACAGTTACTTACCAAAATTTGTAACTAGATACAGATGAAGATACATATTTTATTGCAGTAACTAGTTACAGATACAGTTACCTTCAAAAAGTATCTAGATACTTTAAGATACCTACATACAAAGTATTTTTATTTAAAATACCAATAAAATGGAATTTTAAAGTGACAACAAAAATATACATGTTTATTATTTTATTTTTTTTATAATATTTAATTTAAAATAACTTATTTTTTATAATATTTTTTTTTAATAAATAATAGTCGCAGTTTAATTAAAAATGTATCTTTGTATCTTAACATACCTAGTTACTTAGAATTTGTAACTAGTTACAGTTATAGTTACTAGATTAGGATAAGTAACTATTTACACAAACAGATACATAAAAAGTTTCTAGATACTGTATCTAGTTACTTGTAACTAGATACGTTACAACACTTACCTACAAATTTTTGAATTTTTATAATTTTATAGTTTTTATTCATACTTAAAAGTAACTTACTTACTTAAAAGTATCTTAGATACTCAAAAGAATCTTAGATACTTTCATATAGTACTCTTAGATACTTTTAATTAGTATCTTAGATATTTTGAAATAGTATCTTATATACTTTTTAAAGTATCTTGAAACTAAAGATACTTTTAACTCAAAGTAGTTAATTGAGACCCTTGATTATATTAAATTTTCAAAAAACATAATGAGTTTAGAACTTTTTGAATTTTCATAATTTTATAGTTTTTATTCATACTTAAAAGTATCTTAGTTACTCAAAAGAATCTTAGATACTTTCATATAGGACTCTTAGATACTTTTAAATAGTATCTTAGATACTTTTTAAAGTATCTTGAAACTAAAGATACTTTTAACTCAAAGTAGTTAATTGAGACCCTTGATTATATTTTCAAAAAAAATAATGAGCCTACAACTTTTTGAATTTTCATAATTTTATAGTATTTATTCATACTTAAAAGTATCTTAGTTGCTCAAAAGAATCTTAGATACTTTCATATAGTATCTTAGATACTTTCAAATAGTATCTTAGATACTTTTCAAAGTATCTTGAAACTAAAGATACTTTTAACTCAAAGTAGTTAATTGAGACCCTTAATCATATTAAATTTTCAAAAAACATAATGAGCTGGCCAAATAGCTTTTAATTAAGCTAAAGGTTATTACCCCTGAACACAGTGCTTCTGTGTTTAGAATGAAGAAGAATAATTGATAAACCAATGCTTATGAAAATTATTTATAGAACAGTAGAACAAATAAATTTATATTAAACCAGAGAAATCAAGAAATAAGTTGAACAGAGGAAAAAGAAATGGTCATTTTTGAAATCCAATTTGTTTTACAATACTTACGTAACTGCCCCTTCAGTGGCTGTACCGGTGACTGTAAACGTTTTTACATCACCAGTTTCATTAACTGTACTAGTCCATGTAAGGGTTGAATTTACATAATTAACAGTTGCATTTGTTGAATACAGATATCCATCTTTTAACTCTACAATAGGATCTTCTGTAGCATTTGCCACATCTCTGCGATGCCTTGAACTGTCTTCATCCTCAGAGGAAACCTTAAAATTTTTATGATTAAATAGGATAGTTTCAAAGTTATATAACATACCCAAGATGTGTGGTGGGCAGTGTAAATGGCCATAACATTGCTGTATTCAGCTTTGATTTGATTGTAGATTTTGTTAATAAGTTCATCATGGCGATTTAACAAGTCAAACCTGGGCTCATCATCTCCGGCATCATTCAAATCCACAATCAATATGTTGGTTTTTGGAATGTTAAATTTGGTTTTTAAGGAATCAATGGAAATCTCCTCAACATCCTTGTTAAGGTGCTTGAAGGCTTTTATTGGGTTTTGCACTGCAGGTTTGTACTCGACAGTGGAAGTTTGTTTTAAAGCGGATAATTTGGGGAACGCAATTTCACCATCTGAATTTTTTTGGACGAAATCTTCAGGACTTAACTAAAAACTCAACATGTACTTATTTCTTATAAGATTTTTATTTTACATACAGTTTGTTCTGCAAATACCACCAAGTATAAATCATTCTTTAGCTCTTCTAACAACGAGTCTTTAAAGGAATCCTGGCTTATTTTTGGAAGGGCAGGAACTTTTTCCTGAGACCTGAAATAGTAAAAAGATTTCAATGGTGAAATTTTTACTAATCATGATTAATTAGGACCAAGCAACTTCAAAAAACCCAATTTAACAGGTGTAATCCAAAAATATACTTACTAAACAAACAAAGTTTAAAAAACTTACTTAAAATTACCCCAGCTGTAGACAGGAACAAATTCAGTACACTGTACATTTAAGAAAGCGGAAAGCACCGTTAAGAACACAAAACTACTCGTAAAAACCCTCATTTTCATAAAAACTAAAGGCAACTAGAACGTAGCCCAAAAACTGTATAAGATCACGTGAATTTGGGAGTAATAATCATTTGACAGTCAGGTGGACTGGGCGATGTCAAACCAAGTGGGTAAAAACAATATCTGTAAGTCGAACTAGCGCCACCTGTCGGACAAAGGTAAAACCTTCGAATTTTTGTAAATACGTTGGCGCCACCTATTGAACAAGCGACAAAGTTTGTACCTTCAGTGTTTTCTATGTTAAGAACTTGATTGGGGTTTTAATAGATGGCATCACAGCATTAATTTTAAAAATCAGCGCAAATGATTTATTTATTTTTAGTTTAATGTAAGTAAAATGGGGAGTTCAAATAATAGTATATTATGTATCAAGTTTGATAAACCCCATTTTATACACGAATTTAATTTAGGCACGAGCGAGCTTGCGAGCAAGTGCTTAAATTAATGAGTGCATAAGTAGAAAAGTTTATAAACGAGGTGCATACTATACTTTTTCTACGATAAATACTTATTATTATCTTAAAATTATTTAAATCAAAAATTTGTATAGAGCGCCATCTATGAAACAATTGGGGAATCTGTGTGTCACCGTCAAATGTCAAATTTTTGTATTTTATAAATACAATTATAAAGGTTATAAATCGAAATGTATTTCTTGAAAATTGACAGTTTTTCAAAGTGAAAGTAAAGAAAATGTTTTATGAGCACTTTACAGTGGAGTCCGTGCCCGAATTTAAGTTATAGTTTACTGCCGGCGAAATTAAAACGTCAGTACAATGTTCATATAAACTTTTCAAATATTGGCGTTGAGAAACTATTTAATACTTTTGTATTTTTGTATTGAGTATTATTTTACAAGAAAGGCACTTTATTTTAACAATTGTATGACATTTGACAACTGTCAACTAACTTAAAACTAACTTCAGCCCGTGACTAAAGCGCCATAAAGCCACAACTTGTCAAAGTGTATTTAAAAGGTCACTTAGTGTCATGGAAAGATGTACAATAAAGGGCGATTTAAAGGTGGGAGTAGAAAAAATAAAATAATATAAAAAGTGTTTATAGTTTTGACATTTATTTATTATCTACATAAAATGTACAATTCTTATATAATACAGGTTTAACATATAATAAAAGTTACAAATAACATAAATAAAAGTTTATATTACATAATTAAAAAGTTGTACATTATTTAACAACAAAATGATAATTATAATATCGACGACAAGTTTCTTGGAGATAACAACTTTTTTGTTTAAATATACATATACGATATACATAAACCTACATTATTTTTGTATCCTAACAAATATTGAGTTTAGAGAGAACTAGAAAATATCATATTAACAAATGGACAAAATTTACAGAAGAAATATATAAATACATATGTAGCTGCTAGAATGAATAGTGTTGGTTAAAATAAATTATATATTTTGAAATTTTAATAATTTTAGTTAGATTACAAGCTGTTTTATTCAGCTACTCTATATAAGTTGTAGTGCAATATATAAGTACGGTGCAATAAACATTTTTTTTAAGTTTATTATCATGCTTTTGATATATTTAATATTTATAAATAAGTCCTTTACATAAATATGCGTCTGAGATCAGTGGGAGAAGTAATCATGCTGCATTGGGGACAAACTTTTTTACTTCCCTGAAAAAACATTTTATTAATTTTGTTTTCACTTCAAAGTATTTTTTACTCTGCTTTATAAATTTTGCACTTGAAAGAAAATTATAAAAAGCCGAAAAAAATATAATGTAAAAATTATATATACACACCAAATCGCTTAATTTTTTTATCTAAAAAAGTTTTTTACAATTTACAAAAGTTATTATTTATATTTTTCAGTATTTTGTAAAAAACCATCATCTACCAAGTTCACTATTTTTATTTTTTTTATATAAAAAACTTTCATTAATTTTGCGAATAATGCTGCTAAATCTATAATGGACCGACCTTTCATTTTATTTTTTTTAATGATTTTTTTTTTCAATCGTATTATTTATGTAAAAAAAATCAGTCAAATCGGGTTCAAAATTGGTCGATTTGGCGTGGAACGACCCATATATGGGTCATTATACTATTAAGGCTATCTGCCATTAGTCCCTAACATTTCTTATAAAAAAAAAATTGAGACAGCTAATAAATAAGAACTTAATATACCAAAAATTAATAGAAAATGTTTCAATTAAATATAAAAATATTTTTAATGTCATAATTAACCCAACCCAACCCCATGTCCCTCATATTGCAATAGTGAAAACATGGATATATTTCATAGGTTTTTTATGAAAATTCTAAAACTAAAATGAAATAAAAAATAAGTAGCTTCTTAGTACAAATAAAGAATGTCACAAAATGACTGTAAATAATTTTTTAAGCGTGACAAAACCGCCTAAATAAAAGCAGCTTTGTTATAAAATACACTGGAGTTTAGCATTACATATAAAAGAACTCTGTAACCCATGTAGTTTATAACTGTGGCACGAGATGGCAATGGTATCGCTATTGTTATTTTGCGCGTTACAAACAAGCAGCGTGTGTTTTTGAAGGTTATCTTTCGTAACGGCATTTGCTCGGAAAGTTTTTGCAGTATTTGTCTCCTTTGTCACATGTCTCTTTTGTCACACTGCACTGTTATTGCTACGACATTAAAACTTAAAAATAAGAGACTCTACTGCTGAGAGTAACATTAGAAATAGCTTTAGTTTGCCTAAATTAGAGCTAGATGGGGCTAAAAAGTATAATGACCCAAATGTATATTATAGTATAAGAAATAAGAAACTTAAAAAGAAAAAATTACAATCAATATTTGAGTCGTGTAAAATCAAAAGCTTAAAGTATATTGTACTAAGTACAGGTACCTATATCAAAGAAAATACTTACAAGTGTGTGTAGCCAGCATTCTTCGCAGTGCACGTGCCAGCAAACTGTAGAAATCACTGGTTTCTTGTAATGTTCCTGCAAAAGAAAACGAATGGTTAACATTGGGATTCGTTTAAAGTGGCGATAAATCTTACCAGGCAAATTAAACATTTATAATCGTCGGATGCGGCGTCGGTGCTAGTTGCCGTCGTCTCCGTCCCTGCCTCCCCTTCTAACTGCCGAATTCTATTTCTCAGTTCTTCGATCAATTGGATTCTACTGCTGGATCCAGCGTCCGACGTGCTCACGTTACTGTCGCATTGCTGTCCGCCAGTTTCCACCTTAACCTCGACGTCGCCGCTGGAGTTAACCGTGGCCACTTGCGATTGCGATTGCGCTTGGTCTTTGTCCTTAACTTCCTTGACCACCACGTCGTTTTCCGTGTACTGAGAAGGCCCGAAACTGCTCTCCTCGGGATCGTCCCCGTCCACAATGACATCGTCGGCCTCATTGTCAATCTCGGTGTTGCGTCCGGTGCTACTCGGCGTTCCGGTCGGGCCGGACACCAAGGAGGAAGTCCTTCGGCGTTGCACCTCGGACCACTCCTCCAACTCCGAATCGCCTTCGACATCGACGGTTTCGTCTTCATCTTGCTGCATCTTCCGCGTGCACTGCTCCACGTGCAAATTCAACTCCTCCTGCGTTCTGTGCGGCCTTCCGGTGCAAATGACGCAGTTCTCGTCGCCTTTCCTTTTCCGGATTTTCAACCTCAACCGCCCCTGCCGGTTGGTTTTGATCCTCTGGAACGTCTCCCATCGTCCCTCGGGACCGCTGTCGCCCGGCAAAGCCGGCGGTCTGCCCGGCTCCGGCCGGCGTTTTCTTGTAGACGCCACACCGGTGCCCGACAGTTTGTACAGTCTCTCCAGCTCGTGCATGAAGTGAGTCTCCAGGTCTCCCGGCGATATGGTCAGCCCGCAAACCGGGCAACTGGATGGGTCGCGTTTCTTCTTGCTCATCACAAGATCTGAAAAAAATTAAAATGTGCTTTACAATGAAACAACCCAGATTTAAACCTCATTCGCATTCACTTAATAAGCATAACTTAACTTAACTTAACTTAAGAAACCTACGTCTGTTAAGTTGTCTGTTTACATTAACTTAATACACGCAAAGAACGCAATATACAAGCACGCGCAATGTAGACATGGATGTAGACTGGGTTACCTATCTATCTATAAAAGTGAAACAACAAGATAGCGCTACATCGTTTTACTGGGCATGTAATTGGCTAACGTAAGAAACGTATTTCCTTAAGTTGAGCCGGACCCAACTTTTGGATACGTTAAGTTACGTGTGATAAGTTTTCTACGAATGTAAACAGCTGCATTGGTTTCAATGTATTTCAACTTACGTCTATCACGTACGTTAAGTTAAGTTACGCGTATTAAGTGGATGTGAATGAGCTTTGAGTTGAAATACATTGAAACCAATGCAGCTGTTTACATTCGTAGAAAACTTATCACACGTAACTTAACGTATTCAAAAGTTGGGTCCGACTCAACTTAAGGGAAGACGTTTCTTACGTGAACCAATCACATGCCCAGTAAAACGATATAACTTAAGTTTGTTTCACTTTTATATATAGATAGGCAACCAGTCTACATCAATGTATACATTGCGCTTGCTTGTATATTACGTTCTTTGCGTGTATTGTTAATGCAAACAGACAACTTAACAGACGTAGGTTTCTTAAGTTAAGTTAAGTTAAGTTACGCTTATTAAGTGAATGTAAATGTGCTTTTAACACTAACAGATTTATGGACGGTCCCGTACAATAATAAAAATACAATAAAATTACATAGGATAAGTGGTTCCATCTATGACATTTTGCTCGAAATCAGGTAACTGTACAATTACAGGTAACTGTAGAATAAATTTATGCACATAACCTAGTTGTCAAACGTCAAAACCATGACAAAACGTCGCAAAATCAAGAATTTTAATAATATAGTTAAATTATTTCAGAAAGACAAACCCACATAAATTGAAAAACAATATAAATTAAGGGTCTATTTTTTTACTGGGACTTACTAAAATCCTGTTAAGGCTTATTTTTTTTAATTCTTATACTGATACTTTGACTATATAAAATAAGAATTTTAGTATAATAAACAGTTTTAAACACGGTACGGAAATGTTATGTTTTCCAATGGTAGGTAAATGACAGAATTTCATATTGAGGTTACGTATAAATTTTAAACAACATAATGTTAATAAAAAGTCGTATACTTAATTTATATACAGTTGTGTCCTTATAATAATGAAAATAATAATAAAGGTAAAATTATTGGTGGTAGTTAGTCGTAATAAAAATAAAATATTTGTTTGAAAATCATTATAAAGCTTATTATAATTTTAATAAGAGGTTTGAAGTGGGGTGCAAATTTCCGAGCCGTTCCCTTTAAACTCCTTTTTAGCCCACTTACTGTTTATAACCGATTTAATTAATTAATTTAGACTTTCTTACAGCCTTTTCCGTAATCTTACAGCCAGTTATTACTTTGTAAGTATAATAACTGTAGCGCAAGTCGACAATTTGAAAATTAATATCTTCATAAAATGTCCCCCGTTGCGACTGCCATCATTTAGGAACGTATGTTACCCTCACGAAAGATTATGTTCTTTACGTCATAGCGCACCACACACACAATAACAATACCTGTAGACGTCCCGCCAAATTTATGGGGCTACTTATTTTTATAGAATTACCCGAATAACCGTAAAAAACGCCGTTAAATAAACCGAACACAAATCCAATTATTATACAATCAAAACAACACCAGTTTAGTATACATATTTCATTAGGAGCACTTTTCTTAAATTAGTCATTTTTCTGCAAATTAAAAGATAACATAGGATAAAAGTACCAGTAAAAGTTTGTACAAAATAACAATATTCGTATTGTAATATTGCGAAACGAATTTTCTTCAGTTCAGTAAAATTGTAAAATATATTTCGTAATTTTCTTAAACTGAGTTGAAACATATTTAGTATTTTTTTTAGCAAAATTATATAGTATAGTAAGGTTACTGAACAAATTTTTAAAAAGTGGTGAATTTTAACAAACGTTTAGTAGGGTGCAGCGAAAAAAAAAATTTTGGAAAAAAAAAAATTTTTTACTCAACGTCTTGAGGTGGCGCACTGATTTTTTAAATGAAATTTAAGTTAAAATTCTTTTGAATAAAAAAAAAATTCAAAAGTGTCCTCTTTCTTGCTAATTAACAGTTATGAACTTAAAAAAAAATTTGTGGTCATTATTGTTGTTTTTTTATTCAAAAGAATTTTAACTTAAATTTAATTTAAAAAATCAGTGAGCCACCTCAAGACGTTGAGTAAAAATTTTTTTTTTTCCAAATTTTTTTTTTTTAAGGCTACAAATTCCACCCCCAGGCTAAGAAAAAAAAATTTCGCTCCACCCTAACGCTTAGTAATTTTCTCAAATTGAGTTGTAATATATAATATGTATAATAAAGTGCCATCAATAAAATAAATGTTAAAATGTTTGAAAAGTATTTTTCTTGAACATGGAGCTTTTATCTGCGTAATTGGTTGCCGGATGCGTTTCGAGAAGCATCATCAGTTGGGATATGGCGATCAGTCAGAGATAGGAACATCATTCACGGGATTAGCCGCGCTAACCTTGTTAATTGCTCGACTAGACCCGTGCCCGTGTGTACCCCAAACGTAAATCAGCGAAGGCTAAAAGGGGATAAAACGGGCTTAAGTCATCACATCACTTGAAATTTACACCGGGGCTTTAAATATGCTGGTGTCTTAACATTTTAAACACCTTCGCCATGCGATGCCGTTGCCTTTGTTATTTATCCCCCTTGATTTACCATTCCTTTCCGATCGATTGTTCAAATCCTCATATAAGCCCGAACCAGCATAACTAAGACCCTAATACTACTAATGAATCGCGACTCTATAGGTATTATTGCCCAACTTAACACATTCAAACTGTAATGCCTTACATATTTCCACAAACACCTTGCACACATACAAGATGTTCCCAAACTTATAGAACAGTTAGATAGAAAAATCAAGCCATTAAAATGTTAAGGTCTTGTAAAGTTAAAAAAACAGATGTCAATAGTAATTTTTTGCGGAAGCGAGACAGAAGCTGATGCGGACGCGGAGGTGGAAATAAAAATTATACTAATGTCGACATTTCTAGACACTTTCAAGAAGCTTCCGATAAAAAAATGCAAAAGCGATGTGAAAAAGTGTGCAGAACTTCCGCGGTTGCTGAAGCGGAAGCAGAGGTCTGCTGCAAAAACTTTTAAACAGAAAATATTTCTAAATAAAAAATTTAATGGTTTGAATTATAACTAATTAATACAAAATTAATAAAGGCAGTGTTTGTTTTTTAACTAGTTATACATTAAAACAATAATATTTTATGTAAAAAAAAATCGTATTGGTCAAGCCATTAAAATGTTAAGGTCTTGTAAAGTTAAAAAAACAGATGTCAATAGTAATTTTTTGCGGAAGCGAGACAGAAGCTGATGCGGACGCGGAGGTGGAAATAAAAATTATACTTATGTCGACATTTCTAGACACTTTCAAGAAGCTTCCGATAAAAAAATGCAAAAGCGATGTGAAAAAGTGTGCAGAACTTCCGCGGTTGCTGAAGCGGAAGCAGAGGTCTGCTGCAAAAACTTTTAAATAGAAAATAGTTCTAAATAAAAAATTTAATGGTTTGAATTATAACTAATTAAGACAAAATTAATAAAGGCAGTGTTTGTTTTTAACTAGTTATACATTAAAACAATAATATTTTATGTAAAAAAATTGTATTGGTCAAGCCATTAAAATGTTAAGGTCTTGTAAAGTTAAAAAAAACAGATGTCAATAGTAATTTTTTGCGGAAGCGAGACAAGCTGATGCGGACGCGGAGGTGGAAATAAAAATTATACTAATGTCGACATTTCTAGACACTTTCAAGAAGCTTCCGATAAAAAAATGCAAAAGCGATGTGAAAAAGTGTGCAGAACTTCCGCGGTTGCTGAAGCGGAAGCAGAGGTCTGTTGCAAAAACTTTTAAATAGACAATATTTCTAAATAAAAAATTTAATGGTTTGAATTATAAATAATTAAGACAAAATTAATAAAGGCAGTGTTTGTTTTTAACTAGTTATACATTAAAACAATAATATTTTATGTAAAAAAAATTGTATTGGTCAAGCCATTAAAATGTTAAGGTCTTGTAAAGTTAAAAAAAACAAATGTCAATAGTAATTTTTTGCGGAAGCGAGACAGAAGCTGATGCGGAAGCGGAGGTGGAAATAAAAATAATATTAATGTCGACATTTCTAGAAAGTTTCAGGAAGCTTCCGATAAAAAAATGCAGAAGCGATGTGAAAAAGTGTGCAGAACTTCCGCAGAGGTCTTTTAAACAGACAATATATCAAAATAAAAAATTTAATGGTTTGAATTAAAACTAATTAAGACAAAATTGATAAAGGCAGAGTAAAAGTTGATAAAAACAGTGTTATATTGATAACCGTGGCTGTAATATACAAAGTATTTGTACGGCCTGTGTACACACAGAAGCGAAACTGTCTATCAATAACACGATTAGGGCTTAACACCATCTGTTTCCTAAACACATACTATTCTACCTGTGCAAGTTTCGCGGATTTTTTTTTTGTTTAAAAATAAATTCGCCAGATATATGCATGTGAAAATATAAGAATATGAGAACATGTGAGTGTGAAAGATAGTTATGGGGGGCATTGAGGGAAATGATCCGCACTCCATTGCGTTCAGAAAATTTTTACCCAGACCGCCAAACCGCTCTCTTAACTCTACGAGTCGGAAACAATATCATAGAACTTTATGTTAAGACATTTCAACGTCTCTTTCGACGATTTACTTTTTATTTTACACACATCAACTCATATACATATACTTATACACCCCACCCCCAAACTTCGCTATATTTATATACAAAATTCATAAC